TTTCATTCAGGAGTAAGATGCTCAAGTATGTGGTGGCCTCTCAGCTCCAGGTTTTCCTGGATGAAGCAGCTTATCTCTTTTAGCCCAGCTTCATGTTTGGTTGTGGGACTGAGACAGCCTTGGTCCCCCCTGGTGGATGATCTATGGCAGGGGCTAGAATGTCAAGTCCATTCCTGTTGGTTATGCTGGACCTCTCAATGGCTTTCAGTACCATTTCTCGGACCACCTGGATGGGGTGATTCTAAAGGGGCAGGGTCTTGTTCTGCTCCCAAACCTTCCTGGAAGGTGATGCTGGAAAATACCAGTTTGACATAGGGCTATTGACCTATGGCACTCCTCCTGGTTCCAACTTCTCTCCCATGCTGCTGAACATTTACATGAAACTATCGAGAGAGATCATCAGGAGAAATAGAGTATGGAGTCACCAGTATGTGGCTGACACCAATCTCAATTTCTTCATTCTATCAAATTCCAAGGAGGTTGCTGAGATGCTGGACCATTGCTTGGAGACAGTAATGTGCTGGATGACGGCAAGCGAATTGGCACTTCATCCAAACAAGATGGAGATGGAAAGAACTACCGATTTGGGGATAGAATTCCAACCTGTTTGAGATGGAATAGCAAACCCCTTCAAAACTCAGGTTCAGTTTGGGAGGGTGCTTTTGGATCTGACCTTGAACCTGGAATCCCAGGTGATGGGTGCGGCCAAGAGTGCTTTTGTCCAACTTAGTTGGTGGTGATTATTATCAACAATTTATTGTTGTTGACAAACATACACAATTGCTAAGTGTCATCAGTTTTGTTAATGGCAGGGTTTTGTTTTTGTTTTAGGACATTAGTGAATAGTCTCCATTGTCATTCATAGCTTTCTTTCCAAGTGAGGGAAGCTGAAGAGTATGAAGTGGGTATTTCAGTTTCCCCACAAGCACTTCCTTGTGCTTGGGGATTGAGTGCATGCTGCTATACACTGGAAGCCTTTGCCACACGGTCTTCATGGGCTTCCAGTTCTGTGGTTGTGGGGGGGTGGGGGTTTCAAAATAATAGGAAACACTGTGGTGTTAACGTCTTCTTTATGGTCCAAAGCATATATGTACAAACTGGACACGTACCTATGTACATCCTACGCACACATGCGCACGCGCGCGCACACACACACACAGTATTTTAGAAAAGGCTGAGCTTGTTCTTACAGCAACCCAACTGTTCTTTACCACCCACCTCTGCCTTCAGTAAGTAAGGCTGTGACAATGCCATTTCAGGCATTAAGGTATAATGTTCTTATCTGTGACCTGGTTTTATTTGCGTGCACAAGTTTCTGAAGGAAATGAGTCAGGCGGTTGGCACTTAGAAATCAATGGAGCATGTGTGGGCAAAATAAGAATGAAGGGCAAACTGCCTTTTCAGGGTCTTGCTCCAAAATGTGTGAGCGCTTCCCAAAATTATTACCTAGCAGAGGTTTAGCATTGATTTTTAGGAATGCCAAGAGACTAATGTGTATAATTGACTCACAGGTGTGCACTAAGTGTCGTTAGCAGCTTGTTTACTGTGAAATGTCACTGTAAGCCTTGACTACTGCTCCACTGTTAAGAAAAAAATCTTGCATTGCATTTTTGCCATGTTTCCACATTGCACACACCTTAAAATGTAATGTTTGGTGTTCTAAAGCACATGACTAAAATATGTGTGATATGTAATGTGTTGCAGGGATCTCCCAGTTGACCCTGGTTCCTAGTTGTATTTACTATATATGAAACATATGTGTTTTCCAGCATAGTATATGAAGCAGCCCTTAGTCTACTGGTATATTTTGCATTTCTCCTCTCCCTGCCCTTATTAGCTTCAATCAGGGGCATGCAGGAAGACTATTATTGAAATGATTCCAAACAGGTCACTAAGCCCATCTTACATTAAAAGTTTCGGGAAGCTTTTAATGTTTGATGTATTATAGTATTTTAATATTCTTTTGGAAGCCGCCCAGAGTGGCTGGGGAGGCCGAGCCAGATGGGCGCGGTATAAATAATAAATTATTATTATTATTATTATTATTATTATTATTATTATTATTATTTACATGTGTGCATCTTTCCGCCAATTAAATGCATTCTGCAAAGGAGGTTTACTTAGGGTTCTCCCAACCCAATTGGGTAGTGCAGGGGGAAGATGGGGGAGAAGGTGCATTGTGCTAGTAAAAGTCATTGTGCTGGCTTCTGCTAGTGAGACTAGTTAGTTGCATCCAACCCATAATGACAATATAATGGAGTATTAATAACCTTGATTATTGTGCAAATAACATAAACGCTGCGTAAATATCCTAACCATTAAGATAAAGGACTGAGAACAAATTGTGTGTATTTCTTGTCTTGTTTCTGAGTCGGCTCTCTTTTTGTTTAATGAAGTTGGTGATATGGTTTTCATCTAATTTAAACTTTATTTGTCCTCTTTTGGCTTAGTAATGTAGCAGAGTATCATTGATAGCTTTTAACAGTCACTTAAAAAAATATATCCTTGTAACACACAAGTTCACTAACAGTGGACAACCCCGTTTTTCTTCTTGCACATATCCAGCTGAAATCACAGTCATTTTTGATCTTCTTAATTATTCCAGGAATGTTAAGTATACAGGCTTGAGGAAAGGGAATGATCTCCCTCTCTTCCTCCTCCTCATGCACCTTCATTGAGACTTCCAAAGGCTGACTTGTAGTGAACCTGTGGCATTCCTGGTATGGCACCTCCTGTAGCGCAATTGCGAATCCGCGTGGTGATAGAAATGGAGACAGTGGAAGGAGCCTACACCCTGTGCAATTAGTTCCACTTGGAAGTGCAAATGGCACTGTAAACAAGGGGTGTATCTAAAGCCTGTTCTGTTCCTGTTCCTTTCACCTTCACTGGAGGAGAGGGAAGTAAAGGAGGATTTATTTATGGTTATGAGAGAGTTAAGCTAGTAGGTTTTAAATTCACCCTCGTTTGCAGAGCTGTCTTCTCATAGTTCTCTCCCTCATGGTCAAGAGATGGGAGTCCTTACACCAATGGTAGCCAATGTGGTGCGCCTCCAAATGTTGTGCATTGTAACTCCCGTCATGTTTTTCCTTTAGCCACGTTGGGGCAGAACAGAGAGAGGAGTCCTTTTATACATGCCACTCACCCACTATATTCACTGTCATGAGTCCCATGGAGATATCTTGGAGGCACTGGTTAAATCAGGAAGCAGGGTGGGAGGAGCTTGAAGAGATTCCCAGAGGGTTGGGAAGGTATTCATCTGGTACCCAGGAAGTCCTGGAGTTCTGCGGGATGGGAGAAATGATAGAATAATAGAATTGTAGAGTTGGAAGGGACCCTAAGGGTCATCTAGTCCAACCCCTTGAAATGCACCACCTCTTGTGGGAGTCTGTTCCACTGTCGAACAGCTCTTACTGTCAGAAAGTTCTTCCTGGTGTTTAGTCAGAATCGCCTTTCTTGTAACTTGAAGCCATTGGTTCATGTCCTGCCACCCCAAGCAGGAGAAAACAAGCTTGCTCCATCCTCCATGGGACACCACTTTAGATATTTTAAGTTCGTTATCATATCTCCTCTCAGTCTCCTGGTTTCCAGGCTAAACAAACCCAATGTTCCTCATAAGGCTTTGCTTCCAGACCTTTGATCACCTTGGTTGCCCTCCTCTGCACATGTTACAGCTTGTCAACATCCTTCTTGAATCGTGGCACCCAGAACTCTATTCTGACCAAGGCAGAATAGAGTAGGACTATTGCTTCCCTTGAATCAAACAGGGTGTTGGGGAGGAGGAATATGTAGCAAAACAGATTGGTCAGAGCAGAGGTTGACTGAAAGTTGCGGGGAGTGTCAGTATTTGGGAACTCATAAGAGCCTTTTAATTATATTGTCCAACCACAGTGTTTAGGTGTAACTGGCATATATACTCTCATTTCTAATTTAAGGGGTTGGGCAACATTGCCCAGAGTGCAAAAGAATCCACCCATGAGCAGATTGTAGCCAGTGGCTTCTAATAGGATTGGACTTAACTAGCATCAATTTAGCAGAAAGTTCTACCCCATTGTATTTTTTTTTTAAAATGCATCATCTACATCAAGGCTGTGGGGATCTGTGTCTCCAATCTCCATCAGCCTTAGCTAGCATGACTAATGGTCAGGGATTGTGGAATTTGAAGTCCCAACATCTGGAGGGCCACAGGTTCCTCATTACTGCTCTGTGTGATGGAGTCAGAGGAAGTTGACCTCATGATGAGGAGTTAGTTTAGTACCATGAAAGGTCAGTGGGGTGGCTAGGGTGTCAGACCAGGCCTGATGGGACCGTGGTCCACATCCCCACTCAGCACTGGAGCTCATGGGGCAGCCTTGGGTCATTCACTGTCTCTCCACCTAACCTACCTCATAGGGTTGTTGTGAGGATAAAATGGAAAGTGGAAGAACCACGTGCATCTCCTCGAAGGGAACGTCGGATATAAATGTAATAAATGATGAAAATAAAATAAATGCCAGAAGTTAGCATTATCTGAGGATCTTCATAGGTCTCCATCTCACAGTGATATCACAATATGCTCTGGGTGCTTAAGAAAGACCTTGAATAGTGTTCCACTAGGGCGAGAGAAAAATGTTTAAGGCACCCCCTCCCACCCCACAAGCTGGCTTCATATTATAGTACTTATTAAGTGGCAGAGTCAGTCAGCTGCACATGAGAGAGAGAGAGAGTGTGTGTGTGTAACTAGTTCCACTCAGAGATATGAAAAGGCAGGAGGTTATGAGGTGTGTCAGGCTAAGATGAAAGAGTGCATTGTGTTGCATTAGAGAATGTGGGCTGATATGGTGAATTGTTGCATTATGGTACAAGTAGGCTCAGAGGGCGTTAAGTGCTCGGATATTTGGCTTTGGATTTCCTTCTGGGGAAAAACATGTCAGAGTCACTCGACTCTTTGCTGGTTTGTGATAGAGGCTTGGAGCAGTCAATATCCCTGTTGTGTCCACTAATGCTTTCCCTGTCCTTTCCAGGATCCCAACCTTACGCTGCACACTGACAGCCCAGACCTAACACCATGTTTCCAGATGACTGTTGTGGCGTGGGTCCCGTGCTTCTATCTTTGGTGCATCTTGCCCTTTTATCTCCTTTATCTAAAATGCAACAACCGAGGCTACATTGTACTGTCTGTGCTGAGCAGGTTTAAAACGGTAAGATGCGGCGCGCGCGCGCACACACACACACACTCTGCAGATAAGGGCAGAGTTTTGTGCCTAATGAGAGAAAATGGCTAGGGGGGGAAACTTAATCATATGCCTTCCGTTCAAAATGTCACGAAATAACGTGATTGTGATAATCTGCAAATTACCCTTGTACTGTCAGATAAGTTTTTGAAGCATGGGATTTGGCTTTACGAAAAAGATAGACTTACTGCTCTGATGCAGCCTTCCTCAAACTTGGGTCCCCTGATGTTCTTGAACTACAGCTCCCATCATCCCTAACCACTAGCCATGCTGGCTAGGAATGATGGGAGTTGTAGTCCAACAACATCTAGGGACCCAAAGGTGAGGAATGCTGTTTTTTGTGTGTGTTTTGTTTAAACAAAAGGACCATAAGAAGCTGCCTCATACCTATCAGACTCTTGGTCCCTCTAGATGGGTACTGTTGACGCAGGGTTTCAGGCAGGAGCATTTGCTACAGCTGCCAGGAATTGTACCTGCAAAGCATGTGCTCTGCCACTGAGCTAAAGCCCTTCCAAAAGCATGAGCAGACCCTTCCAAAGGTTCTGGGTGTGGGTGGGAGAAAATGGGGGAAGAGCTTCTGCCACTTGCGTAGTTAGCTAGACTCCTTATTTTCTGAGTTCTGGCCTCCTAGACTCTGCACACTTACTAGGTCTTTAGACAGCCTTCCTTCCTTTCACTCAACATTCCCATCCGTAAGCAGGTCATGTGGTGAGGTGGAAACACCTTCCCAACCTGGTATCACTGGCACTTACCTGGATGGGGCAGCATGGCAGCAAAGTCAGGGCTGCACACATATACCAGTGGGAGCACTGCATTGGCAGCAGTGCTTCCCTTCCCACTGCACTCTGACTGACCTGACCTTGCTGCCACTGCCTAACCCCATCCAGGGAAGCAGCAGCAACGCTGGTGTCGGGAGGGTAGCTCTGCTGCACCGCACACTCCGCTACTGCATTTCATCACTCTGTGCAGCTATCTGTTTTTGCTGCTAAAGATCTTTTTCCACTTTTGGAAGCAATCGTTTGGATGATTAAGTGATGGGCATGCATTTTTAATTGGATTTTAATCTCAGCTGTCCTCTGGGGGGGGGGAGTTCTGTTTTGGTGGCGTTGTTGCTAATAATTAAGAAAATCTCTTGACCCAGGTGTTACTTTTGTTTCCTGCTGAGTTTCACGTGATTTGACAGGGTTATAAATTCAAGAGAAGGAGGAATCAATTCCATTTATTAGATGGATGCAGCCCATCACTTATTGAAGTCAACAGCCAAATCTCTATAGATTTTTAAAGCTGCACTGAAACAACGTGCTTCCAGATCACAGCAAATTTAACATCTCATGACTTCCATTAAGCAATCCACAAAGAGCACCATGTGACCATGTTGATTTTCAGCAGGTGATATTTGAACATTGTGAACACGTGAAAACGCTGTGCCTCCATTCACATTGGACGTGCCCTTCAACTCAAGAGAATAAAAGCATACAACCCTCTAAGAAGTGGCAACAATTAAAAGAAATTCACAAAATGATGGGTTGTTACAAAGATTTAACCTCAGTGCCATTTGCCACTTCTAAATAAATGCTCTGGTACCAAAACCAGGATATGTGCTAAGCTCCTAAGCCAGCGGAAGATTTAAAGTTCACAGAGTGATGTACGTTTGCGAAGGGAGAGTTTGGCCTTTTGTCATCACAAGCAATACCAAGCACTGGCACCCTGACTGTGTAGTTTCCATCCCTTGTGTTGGGGGGCACACCCAGAGTGAATGGCAGCACAAATAGTTTCCTTCGCACTGCAAGCAGATGGAACATCACACCACTGTCATTGATATGGGACTTGCAAAAATATTGCGCAAAAATATTGCGCAAAATGTGCAATAGCAAACCATCTGCCATGTGATTTTCCTGGTGCAGGCATGTCCCCACTCATTGCTCACATGTCTGGAAATGTACATGTAGTTGCCTCTGCATGGGATATTGGTACTCTTGTGAATAGCCAATTGCAAGTACGAATCACCTCTGGCTGAGCAGCAAGAAAGCATATGCTTGCAAACTCAAATAAAAACCTGTGCATTTTTTCCTGCACTTAGGCAGGAAGAAGCAGATGCACAAATATAAGACGGGGGACATTTAGATTGCCAGTAGTACATGTGAAAAGGATCTAGGACCACAAGCTTAACTTGAGTCAAAAGTGTGATACAGCAGCAAAAAAAAGCTAATGCTATTCTAGGCTGCATTACCAAATTATAGTGTCCAGATCAAGGGAAGTAATAGTCCCATTCTATTCTGCCTTGGTTAGACCACCTCTGGAATACTGTGTCCAGTTCTGGGCACCACGATTTAAGAAGGATGGTGACAAGCTGGAACCTGTGCAGAAGAGGGAGCTGGGTATGTTTAGCCAGGAAAAGAGGAGACTGAAAGGAGATAGATAGCCATCTTCAACTGTCTAAAGGGCTGTCACATGAAGGATGGAGCAAGCTTGTTTTCTCTTGCTCTGGAGGGTAGGGCATGAAATAATAATAATAATAATAATAATAATAATAATAATAATAATAATTATTTAATATTTATACCCCACCCATCTGGCTGGGTTTCCCCAGCCAATCTGGGCTGCTTCCAACAAAATATTAAAATACAATAGTGTGCCAAACATTAAAAGCTTCCCTAAATAGGGCTGCCTTCAGATGTCTTCTAAAAGTTTGGTAGTTGTTGTTCTCTTTGACATCTGCTGGGAGGGCATTTCACAGGGTGGGTGCCACTACCGAGAAGGCCCTCTGCCTGGTTCCCTGTAACTTGGCTTCTCGCAGCGATGGAACCGCCAGAAGGCCCTTGGCGCTGGACCTCTGTGTCTGGGTGGAACAATGGGGGTGGAGACGCTCCTCAGATATACTGGACCGAGGCCATTTAGGGCTTTAAAGGTCAGCACCAACACTTTGAATTGTGCCCGGAAACATACTCCAAGTTACAAGAAAAGAGATTCCGACTAAACACCAAGCAGAACTTTCTGGCAGTTATTCAACTGTGGAACAGACTCCCATGAGAGGTGGTGAAGTCTCCTTCACTGGAGGTTTTTAAGCTGTCATGGGTGCTTCAGTTGAGCTTCCTGCATTGTAAGGGGTTGGACTAGATGGCCCTTGGGGGTCTCTTCCAACTCTATAATTCTTTCTCCTCTTCAGGCCATCAATATTGTACAAACAACTGCCCTGTGTAGGTGTGGGCAGGCAGGGACTAGTAATTTTTATGACTAACGTGCAAGGCTGCTTTCAGAATATGCTGCAGTATAAATGCTCTTTGAATACATACATTGACTGAATACATTGCTACTCTTGCAGATGAATTTATTTTCTCTCTCTTTCTTTTGAAGGTCTTTGCTTTTGTTCTCTGGTGTGTTTGCTGGGCCAATCTCTTCTACGCTTTCCATGGAATTGTTCAGAGCAGAACCCCAGCACCTGTATATTTTGTTACACCCTTACTTGTTGGCATCACAATGGTCAGTATGCCTTTCTGTTGATGTTATTGATTGCATGGGGGTCAATGCTGAAACGTGATGTGAATTAATTTTCTTAGATCAGGCGTAGCTGCCTCTTAGAATCCCAGAGATGGCTGTGGAATTGACTGTTCAGTTATCAGCAGCAAATTTAGTGGAGAGAATGGTGGCAATTATTATGGGAAAGCACAGGAAGCTGCCTTATACTGAGCCAGGACATTTGTCCCTCTAGCTTAGTACTGTCTACACTGACTGGCAACAGCTCTCCAGAGTTTCAGAAAGGAGTCTTTTCCACCCTTATCTTGAGGTGTCTGAGGTTGAACCAGGGACCTTCTGCATTCAAAGCGATTTCTCTGTCACTGAGCTAAGGCCTTGCCATAGAGGAGGCAGACAGAACTTTGACAGATGTGCGTTTCAAATTGCTTTTGCCATTCTTCATCCTCTTAATTTATCTGTGGAGTCCTCAGGGCTACTGTTATATGACAATATGTCATATTATCTTGGATTATACAAGATCAGCAGTTCTGAAACAGCAGCCAAATTCTGAACAAAATAATTATTTGAATGATAATAAGAAGCAATCGTATCCTTAAAGGGTATAATTTTTCCATCTAGTTAATACTGTCTATTTCTCTTCACGTTTTAAAAGTCAGCACTGGAGAATTCTGCATATAAGCAAAGGAGGAAGGGACATTTTTACTGTTCTGCACTGCACAAAGTTTTTCCTTGCCTTTGTGGCAAGAAAGCAAATAATATTTTCAGTGAGCCTCTATGAAATCTAAAGGTTGTATGACCATACATTTAAAGCACTATTATGCCACTTTAAACAGTCATTGCTTCCACCAAGGATTCCTGGGAACTGTAGTTCATTAAGGATGGTGAGAGTTGTTAGGACAGCCCTATTCTTTTCACAGAGCTACAGTTTTCAGAGTGGTTTAACAGTCAGTCCCCCTTCACAGAGGACTCTGGAAATTGTAGCTCTGTGAAATGAATAGAGGCCACCAATCAACTCTCAGCATCCTTATTCTTTGAGTGTTTAAAGTGGTACCATAGCGCTTTTAATGAATGGTGTGCATGAGACCAATGGAAGCGGAAGAACAAACAAACTGACAGCAGTGTTTCAGATCCAGGCTTTTAAACCAAGCTAAGAGATAAGGAGGCATTCGTTCATTCACAGCTGTAATCCATGTGTTCCACCTTTACTTTCTCTGCAGCTGTTAGCCATGTTGCTCATCCAGTATGAGAGGCTTCATGGAGTTCAGTCCTCAGGAGTTCTCATCATCTTCTGGTTCTTGTGTGTGCTGTGTGCTGTGAGCCCTTTACGGTCCAAGATCATTGGTACTGCAGCTCAGGTAAATGGGATGTGTCTATGTTATTCAGGATGTGTACATTTATGACATGTTTTCCCCAAATTAGTATTTAGGGAGGGAGATGGCATGGCACTCTGTGGGGAGAGGTAGATCTAATGGGAGTTAAGGGTGGAGCAGCAGCTTATGTTACTTTCTGCTGCCTGCCTCTTCCAAAACACCAAGACTGGGACATTCACAGGGTGCTAAATACAAATAAAGGCAAGCTAATGGACTGTGAATGTGAGCGGAGGCTATGGGGACACTGCACTGCAGAGAGGAGTGTTTCCTCTTCTCAGAGAAAAGGAAGGAAAGTCAAGCTCCTCTGTAAAGGCAGGAAGATAGGGAGGTCTCTTGTCTTATGTGTCTTTGAAAGGAGATACTGGAATGAAAATTGGTGTGTTCAGATTTTATTTCTGTGTTTATTTCTTTAGTGACCTGTACCCCACTTTTCCTTACAAATTGAACTCAAAGCAGATCACTTAATGAAAAACAATGCAACACATTAAATAAATTCAGTATCATCACCGCCACCAAAATCAAACACCACAAACAAAAACATCATCAATCATTTGAGGTAACGAAGCTAGAGCAACAAAATCTAGGGAAGCTAATCTTCTAAAAGCCTTCTGAAACAGCCGTGTTTTGGCCAACTGCCTGAAATAATAAAGTATGAAAGCCTGGCAAACCTCCTTAAGGAAAGCATTCCATAAAGTGGGTTTAACTGCTAAAATGGGCAAGGTCTTAGTGGCCGTCTGCCATATCTCATTCAGCAATGCCACTTGGAACAAGGCCTCAGACTTTGAATGAAGCATGCAGGATGGAACATAATGGGAGAAGGCAGTACTTAAGGAATCCAAGTCCCAAGCCATTTAGGTCTTTAACGATCCAAATCAGCACCTTGCATTTTGTCCAGCAGTGAATCAGAAAATAGTTCAGATCCAACAAGGTGGGAGTCACATATCTAGAATGTCTATGACAACCTTCATCACTCTACTGTCCTCTAAATGTTTGGACTACAGCATCTGTCAACCCCCTGCCCCTCTCTAGCTGGGGCTGATGGGAGTTGTAGTCTTAAGGGTGCCTGCAGACATGGCAGAATATTACATTAGTTTTCCTGATTTTAATGTTGGTACTCCTGTCCCATTTTCTATTGTTCCTTTCACCTGTTGTGTTAGGGAACTGTGACTTTTTGACCAATATACTGGCATGCCGTGTTAAATTTCATTCACACCAGTGGCCATGGTGTGACACCACGAATGTCATTGGACAATGTTGCTGCTCCCCCACCTTTTCCAAACGTCAAACAATCAACTGGTTGATGGGTGCTTGAGAAAAATTGGGCAAGGGGCTTTGCAAACCCCACGCTTGGCACCTGGGAAGCACTTGACATCAGGTGCAGGGCAGGTGACCATGGCTTGGATGAAATGGCCTTGCAGGCCAAGTGGGGAGGCCTTGAGGCTCAGATTTCTAGCCCAGAAGGCAGGATCTTCCATACTTCTTCACAAAGGAAGAGGGTGGGGATTGCAGTTGATTGCAGTGGGAAATAGCTAAGGCACCAGAGCAAGACTTACTATCACACAAGATCCTAAAGAGCTTTATTAGGCTTTGCACTTAATAGCCACCTGAAATATTAAATATTTGTTTTTAATAATATTTTATTAATCGAATGGTCTTTTTCCTCATCAGTGTCCTAGGGAGACAGCGTCAGTGTTTCACCCCATGAGTTGATTAAATAATTTGGTTTTTTCCCCCTCAAGGGGAGCATATACATACAGCACTATATTTGTCTGTTGTTTTACCCAATTTCTCCTTTGACCTCATTAACTTTTCCCCTTTCATTAACCATTTAACCTTTCCCTGCGCCTTTAGTAAAGAACACTTTCCTTGTGTATTGACTCAAAATCTTGTGTCTCTCCCTAGAACCCGATGGAAGACAGATTTCGGATTATCACATTTTATCTATACTTGGCACTGATCCTTGTAGAGTTGGTTCTTTCGTGTCTTAAAGAAAAGCCTCCATTTTTCTCTCCGGTTAACTTAGACCCTGTAAGTAAGTCCTTCTTACAGTGACTGCCTTCCATGGTTTCTCATGAGCTGTGATCAGCAACCAAGCTAATTTAAGAATGCGTGTCCACATCCTCTGATTTTCCTGGAAGGTGTCTTGGAACAAACCAGGTGTACAGTACATCTCACCTTAAGTGTCTCTGATTAGGGTTCTGCCTCTGGACTATATGTTTAAGGAAAGTATTTACCTTAGACATCAACAATTGTAGGCTTCATGTACCAAATCCAGCCCCATGACAACCTGCTCCCTATCCACAACCCAGAAGCAGGCATGGTGTGAGTTTGGACTCGCTGGTAGCCTATTTTGAAGAAGCCATGTGTGAGAGGGCTGTACTTAATGAGGTGCTAATTTATGTGTGATGTTCTTTGCTAAAAGGGCATTGTGGAGGGAGAGGGCAGAAATTGGGACAGCAGCCTGGTGAAGTAGTTGATTTTTGGTGGTGGTGGGATTGTGGGATGTTTGTCTCTTTGTGTGACAATTAGTAGCTGGCTGTGTGTGAAAGAATGGCCCAATCGTACCTTATTTTCATATGGCCTGGAAGCTGACTGTGGATTCTACAGTAAGAGAAAAGCTTTTCTTTCCATTCTGCCACAACCTGGTCTTAATAAAGTCTGCTGGCAGCAGGACAGAGAGGCTTTCTATTGTCTTGCCTTGTGTCTTCTCCCCCCCGCCCCCGGCCTGGCTGCTCCATCAGCAAGGATCCCCTGTGTTTGCTATCTGGTAATAGCTAAAACACACATCCACTCCTTGCTTTTATGTCTGCTATTAGTAGGATTTGTTGAGATCAGATTGTGAAATCCAGCCATAGCCCTTCAAACACTGCTCAGAGCTGGGGGAAGGTGGTGGGGAGCAGGAAATTGGCAGGAGTTCCAGCACATCCTTAATATATACATCCCAGGATATATCGCCAAATGATTTTGAATGCATGGTAGTCTTTGGCTACAAAAGCTTTGGCTAAAATATTGGATTTAAAAAACAACAACCCTACAAATTCATGTCTTCAACTTTTTATTGTAGAATCCCTGTCCAGAGTTAAATTCTGGTTTCCTTTCGAAGATCACATTTTGGTGGTTTACAAGGTAAGCATTACTGAGCTCTCGTTGATATCCTCTGTTTTGCTGGAAGCAATATTGAAGTGGCATCCGTACAAGAGATTCCCCTCGTGCTCTTGGTTGCCTAGCTACATTCCTATACAATACACAGCATTCATTCATGCTCTTCCCTCTACCCCACACCCAGATGTTTTGTGCTTATTAGAGTAGAGGTTAACAAAAGTACTCAGAACAAATTCCTGAGCTTTAGAAGTATATTTACTTCTAAATACATTTCCTTTGCACAATGGGCTGGTTGGTGGATCTCAGGATTCTGGCAGAAAACGAAGTACTGTAGTTGCAGCAAGCCTCAAGTCTGCCCATCCCTGGTGTGTAGATCACCTTTCAGAACTGAGGTGCAGGAAGTGTGAGACAGCAGCTAAGTTCACAGATGGGAAACTGGAGTGCTGTGTGCTTAATTCCAGGTTGGGAAATGCTGGCTAACACTGTGAACAACTTGCACAGTGATGTTTGAATTGGCAATTAAGGTTCAGGTTTCATTTCCTGTTGGAATCGTATTTTATAGGGTGTTTTTTATTATTCTTACTGTGCAGCAGGAAAAGAAACTTGAGTCTCGTGTGTAACATGATGAAACAAATCTTTGTCAACCTTCAACTCTCCAAAAAAATGTCTTTTTTTTAAAGGGGAGGGGAAGCTGCATTTTCCCCCTCTCCAAAGAAGAGGGAGATTAGTTTAATAAGCCGTACTTTGTGCAAGGTTGAAGAGGGTTATTTTGCCATTTAGGGGAAAAAATCTAAGCTTTTATCTTCAAGGTTCTCTTTGCAATTAGAAGACATCAATAGTTGTTGTTTAAAAAAACAGGGCTGAGAATAGAGTTCTGAAAGGCAATTTGCACATTTTCATTCATAAGTCTGTTCCATTTGATTTCCACATTAATCTGTGATTTTAAAAAAGGAAAAAACTATACAAAAATTGTATTTGCATACCGGTGACTCACAACTTATGTGGGGGTTACATTCCAGGGATAGCGTTTAAAGGCAAAAGTGTATCATCAAAACACACTGGGTGCAATGGTGGATGGGCTGGCGAAAGTCTTTCACCCCAGAAACCCACCCGCTTTCTGTCCCTTTAAAAACAAAACAAAAGTCAAGCATGTTTACTGTATGGGCTGAGTAATAAAGTCTGGGCTACAAAAGAAAGAAACAAAAATGAAAGTTATTACCATAGTAAAGTAAAGTATATTGGTGTCATTGGTTTGTCAAGTGTAGTTCCAGATTTGCCAGGCCTGTGATGGTGGCTGCTTTTTAAAGTCAAAAACCATATCACAGAATTTTAGATAAGTGCAAAATCTTAGTGATAATTACTTTCCGGTCTGCGTATTAATTCAGGAGATGCATGTTAGGTTGGTTCACTTTTTAAAAGGCAGACCAAATTGAATTCTCCCTAGTTCTGAACCTAGCAGCCTATTCATTGTGCCACATCGCCCCATAGAGATTCCCACTTAGAAACTGAATAAAAGACTTTCCACCTAGCAACAGGAGGCTCAGCTGCCTCCTTTGCTGCAAATGGCAAATGCATGGATGAAAAACTAAGGCCTCAAGGAAAATAGTTAATATCTGGAGACTTCCAAGCGTTAGCAATTCTGTTTGCAGAGGTTGGATAGTTGTTTGATGTCAACTTAAAATGCCACTTTCCTACCAAGATTTAAATCATTTTGTCCTAGTTTTTCCACTTAAAGAGAGATGGGTGAACTTGTAGCATTTGTAGTCAGTTCCCAAATTCAGTTGAGTTTCTGCAGGAGGACAAGAGGTCAACAGAGAGCTATTTAACATCCCTGACAGCAGCAGTTACATTGACGTCAGTAGTGATCTTGTTGCCATGTGGGGAAAGCAGGAGCGGGAAGCCAGGAAAAAAATGCATTTAAGGTTGGCTATGGTCAAGGTTCAACCACTAAACCCCTTTATGTTTGTGGATATCATCACTGTAATAAATGAAAGCATGTGAACAGAGTTGTATGTGAACAAAACCTCTTGTTTGCCAATACTTTAGTAATGTATTATGCCAAAGATTAGACAGGATTTTGAGGGTGCCCAAGGTGATGGCAAAGCACAGCAGACATTTATGGTGGGATAATATTGGAGGCATCAAGGAAGTGCTAAAAAGTGTGATGGAGTTGAAGTTCTGGTACCAGACATACAATATTTGCGTGGTGAAACCGCTTTGAAAATGTGCTAACCTCATCTTGTGCACTTACCATCTTTACTCCCAGATCGAACTCAGGGAAAACCATGTATTTTGGTTTGCATCAGAAAACCAAAGCACAGCACTGACTGGCCAGTGTTTGTGTCAATCATGAAGCAAAATCCCTCCTTTTGGGGGCAGGGCTGTGCACAGTGCTGATTAGTTATGCCTTGTCACAGCCACAATGCCACCTCCTCTGCTTCTCAGAGCACTTTTAAAGGGTGTTGAACAACAATACAAGCAAGGTGTTCTTAACCTGAAACTGTTCTTAACCTGAAGACCACTTTAGCTAATGGGGCCTCCTGCTGCCATCGCACAATTTCTGTTCTCATCCTGAAGCAAAGTTCTTAACATGAGGTACTATTTCCGGGTTAGCGGGGTCTGTAAGCTGAAGCGTCTGTAACCTGAAGCGTATGTAACCCGAGGTACCACTGTACTCATCTTTGATCACCCCTTTGTACTTGCAGTCAGAATAGAAATTGATTTTATGTTAAACACATGGTCATTGCTGCAAACGGCAAATATGTATTTCTTTCCCACCTCCCTACCTGTTACTTCCAGAACAATTTACCTGTATCCACAGCATTGCGCATGTCCCCTGTCCCCATCCCACTGATAGCAGCATGTGATGTGGGGCAGGGAAATGTACAACAGCCTCTGCCATCCAGTAGCTGGGTAAATTGTCATGGATGCCTACTGTAGAAGAAGGAGGAATTAAATGTGTGTGTGCTCACATGCACTGTCTGTAGAGGTCTTTGCACATTAAGCGTAACACTGCAGTACTCTCTTCAGAAAGGTTGAATTGTGTCCAAACTGATTACCAACGTCCTTTGTTGTTTTTTTTAACAATACAGTATGGCAATCCAGGGATATAAGAAGCCTCTTGAAGATAAAGATTTATGGTCTCTGAATGCGGATGATAAATCTGAAGTGATAGTGCAGAAGCTGCAGAAAGAGTGGGATAAGCAAAATCAAGAAGTGCAACAGTAAGTTGGCTTTGCCTTAATAAGTCACTCTTAGGCTCCCTTTTGTGCATAAACTCTTGCGTTTTAACTGTGCTTTAGAAAATCACCAAAATTGTGTGCCATCGTAATGTGTCCAATAAATAAATAAATAAATATTGCAGCCTACATAAATGATGATAACTGTGCAAAATGCATAATTAAGCTAATGTGCATATGTTAAGCTAATGTGCATGTGTTTGCTTGTTTTGCATAATTTGTTATGCTTTTGCTAATCAAAGGATGAGGCAAGGATCCTCAAGGCACTGGAACTCTATCTCAGAACAACCAGGAATCAACCCCCATTCTAGTGTCACATTTTACCTGCATTTTCTATCACACTTTCAAGATTATCTTAATAATAATAAAGACTAGAACTTTTCCGTGGGGGAGGGGTGAGAAAGAAACCGTGTCCAGGTCCCCACGACCTTGTGTGGGAGCTGGAGTTGAGCAAATGAGCTGGACCGTAGGGAGCTGTTGACCCAGCAAGAGATTAGAGGAGAACTGGAAGGTATGATGATGATGATGATGATGATGATGATGACGACAACAACAACAACAACTTTTATTTATATCCCGCCCTCCCTGACCGAAGTTGGGCTCAGGGCGGCTCACAACAAATGTATACAGTAACATTAGTATAAAATCAAACAATAATTAAATTACCTCCTAAAAACAGGTCAATATCCTTGTTGCCAGCTTCCTCCCTCTCCCTCTCCCTCCCTCTCCCTCTCCCTCTCCCTCTCCCTCCCTCCCTTCCTCTTCCTCTGCTGGGTGATTGTTTACAGTGGGATCTCCCTTTTCTGGAATGGACCCTTGTTCATTCCTATGCCAGCTCCAGGTTTCCCATTGGATCTGCTGCTGCCTTTGCTCTTGAGACCCAGGTAGTGACGGTGGAGAATTGGGGATGAAGATGGGGCTTGGGATGAGATCAGAGGGGTTATCGGGCTGCCTCGGGACTAATGTGGGCTCTTCCAGCTCCTCAGTTGTGCTGCTGTTCCCCACAAGGTGTTCCATGTCTCTTTCTCAGAAGACATATCTCACTGGGTCTGGCTGATATTCTCAGAACAAACCCATACTTGCATGGAATGGTTGTGGAATACCCACCACCATGTTCATGTGGCTTTTTGGAGAGGGTTAGGGTTTGCGTTAAGATTATCCATCTAATGCATTAAAAAGAGAATTAAATTACTGAAGCTAAATGCATAAGAACTGGACATACATATAATAAAGAGCAATGCAAAAGAGAGAGAGAGAGAGGAGGAATTGTCAGTGTACACATCATTTTCCATCAGAAAGTTTCAATGATCTGGTCTGCTCTTAGGAGCCAAAAAAGTTATTTTAGTGTAGCCACCTGCCATTGAACCAAGAAGAAACAGATGGTACAGACCGAAGCATGTTAGTTGAGCATCTCTCAGTGACACCTAATTCCATACTAACCATCTGGCACACTGCATAGGAGTTCTGTATTCTCATTTACATGTGTGTATGCCTTGTCATGCTTCCGTATCATTCTTTGGAATTCAACTGAAATTGTAACTCTTGCCCTCTCTGATACAGCCTCCATATTTTGGAAAGTTGTTTGTTCACTGTGAACTGGACACCTCTTAAGATATCATAACCTATTTTTGCATGTGGTTCCTGAGATCAAAGTGCAGCTTTTTGTCTGTGTTTGGATACAATGAAGACGGACGACTGAACCTTTCAAAACTGCACTGTTTTTAACGATTGATTTCAAAACTGTGCTGATTTTGTTTCTTAGAAATTCTGAGCCATGCCTGGTATGAGGCTGCTAGTGTTAAAATGCAGAAAGCTACTTTATGTTTTAAATCTAAACTAGATCACATACTACAAACATTTCTTAGCAGAGTGATGATGACTTATCTCTTATGGTTAAAAAGGTAAAGGTACCCCTGCCCGTACGGGCCAGTCTTTACAGACTCTAGGGTTGTGCGCTCATCTCACTCTAGAGGCCGGGAGCCAGCGCTGTCCGCAGACACTTCTGGGTCACGTGGCCAGCGTGACGAAGCTGCTCCGGCGAACCGGCACCAGAGCAGCACACGGAAATGCCGTTTACCTTCCCGCTATAAAGCGGTACCTATTTATCTGCTTGCACTTAAGAGTGCTTTCGAACTGCTAGGTGGGCAGGAGCTGGGACCAAACGACGGGAGCTCACCCCACCGCGGGGATTCGAACCGCCGACCATGCGATCGGCAAGTCTTAGGCGCTGATGTTTTACCCACAGCGCCACCCGCGTCCCTATCTGTTATGGTTACAGACCAATAAAAGGGGATGCAAACAGGATAACTATAATAAAAATACTGATATTCACAGAGGGGCCAAAAGGGAGTTCCTGCTTTACCATCTGGCTCTTAATTTATATTTTAGATAGGAAGAATTTAGCTACATTTTCACTAATGCAAGAAGAGGAATCATTTAAGCAAGAGATAGCCTAATTTCAGTGGGTCTTCCAGATAAAGGAAGAATCAGCTTTTTTCTGGGCTTATTATACAAATTGTCATATATAGATTAAAATGACCCACAAGTTTTGTCTCTCTGATCCCACAGGGACAAATGCCTTCATTATGTGAAATGTTCTTAAACTTGCCTGTATGCAAAGCAGAAGGCAGAACATTAATAAAATAAGAACACTGAGGATAAATGCGCTCTATATCTGGAAATAGCAGAGTGTCTGAGGTTTTATCTTATCCGGAGAGATAACTGGTACGCTGAATCACTCAGCTGTGCATGGCTCATGAGCCATCACATACATACCTGATAAGACACACAGTACAGTTCCTTCCACCTCAGAATGCATGTTGTGTACACAGTGGATCATTTGTTTGAAATCACCCCTATACCAGCTCTCTCTTTATGTGAGTCTACCAGAGAAGATCAGGTCACTGTTGATGTTTTGTCGTGAGTTAAGCTAAGTTAAGGATCAGTTTCCCCAATCACATGAAGGGGTTCAATTTGCGTTCAAGTGAACAGGGACAGAAGTCCCTGTGGGCCTTTCCCTATTCAACAGGAGGAAGGGCAGGGACTGAGAGGTGTGTGGTGTGGGACTGGCGCATGCACCCCCTTCCCCAGTTCACACTTTGAGCTTTCATGTGTTTGGGCAAATACCTGACTTCCATTAATTTGTGCCTTTGTCTTGAAATGTCACTGGAATAGCGGTTTTGTTGGGCACAAAATTGGTGAAAGGATAGTCAAAACTGTTGTAAGAGGCTGTTAGATATAAAATAATTGGGGTAAAAATACTGGAAGATGCATGGCAAAACCATAGCTGTAGTGGTAACAGGGCTTTTTGATTCATAAAATACTAAACAAAATAATTTAGTAGGTTTTATCCAACCTCAGAAGAGACCTATTAAAATCAATGGACCTATATTACTTGTGTGAATTTATTTCAATTGGTCTCTTCTGAGTAAAGCTATCACCCATTAGTTTTATTTCTTGAAAGACCATAAAACCAAAAAAAGTTGATGTTTGAAATGTGGCTGCTTTCCTAAGCAAGTATGTCATCACCACCATCATCACCACCATCATCACCACCATCATCATCATCATTTTGCTGAACAGATGCCGAAGGTTGTATTTGCCTGAGCCAAAGCTTTTTTGCCTGAGACTACAGCTTTTTATTTAAGTAAAACTAAACTAATTTAATCTTAATCATTCCTACATGAACTGGCCAGTCTTCACTCAAATCAATTGAACTGATAGGTTGATGTGGAAGTTTCTGCCCCTGAATACACCAAGGAGAGGGACTGCAGTAGTAATATCTCATATGACTTAATTTGCGAATCAGGTTCCAAATGTGCTGCCTTATGTCACTGTAATTTAAATATGCAGCTTTAACATAGTTATTAAATAAAGTACCGATTTTAACACAGACAGTACTTTAAACTGAGGTCCCTTTTTTTCATGGGGGAAACTGCTCCCTGCTCTTGGCTATTAAAATGTGGGGCCCATATCCTACAAACATATCTTAGCAGTTCTCACAGAAGCAAGGCCACATTTGAGGCCCAAAGGCTGCTATTATTTAAGAGAGTCAACATTCCTAACAAACCCTCCACTTTTTCAGCTGACTTTAACAATGTCTTTTTGTTCCCCTAGGAAAAAAGATATATCCTATACAAAAAGCTCAAACCAAATAGAGAACCATGTTGGTGATGGCCTTGAGGAAACAGAAATCCTGATAAGTAGTAACACAAAGCAGAAAGAACCATCTTTTCTCAAAGCCTTACTCAGGACCTTTGGACCATACTTCTTGATCGGCTCCTTCTTTAAATTAATTCAAGATCTGTTGTCTTTCGTCAACCCCAAGTTGCTAGGGTGAGTTCCGCACTCTCATTCAAGTTCATTTCACATGATCCATTAGCACAGTGTTTCCAAAACGTGGGTCTCAGCTGTTTTTTTGAACTACGACTCCCATCATCCCTAGCTAGCAGAACCAGTGGTCAGGGATGATGGAAATTGTAGTCCAAAAAATAGCAGGAAACCCTACTTTGGGAAACCTTGCATTAGTGAATAGCTAGAGAAAAGGTAATAGTTTTAAGGGTGTTTAATGCTTTCTGCAAGCTTTTGGGGTTTTCCCATTTACTGCACTCCATTCCCTGCATGTCGCAGGACACCTATTTTATCCTATGCTGAGTCCTTGCCTATCTGCATAGCCGATGCGGGGAATCGCAGGGGAGAATGGCAGTCTGATAGGGAAAGGCTGTCAATGAGGAAATACATAATGGGTTTTCATGTGTTACTAGTTTTGCATAAGAACACTGAGTGGGAAACAAGGGAGGCTTTCATTTAGACATATCGCTAACGTGACTAAATGGTGTAGTGTCTCCTCCATGCACCATATTTCTTTCCAGTTCACACTTGCATGTCTACATGGAAAAGAATCCCATTTTGAACTGCAACACACAAAAGTTCATCTATGTGTGTTGAATGGCAGATGCAAAGATTACATGTGTGCATGCTTTCCAGTCAGGGCCGGCACAAGACATTGTGCTGCCTGAAGCAGGATCTGCATCTGTCTTCATGATAGGGAAGGGCTGTAGCCCAGTGAAATACGCTTTGCATGTAGACGGTCCCAGGTTTAATCCTCGGCATCTCCAGGTAGTGGCTGTGCAGAAGAAGAGGGCAGGGGATGATGCTAGAAAACAGTATAGAAGACAGGAAAGTGGCCAGAGCTTTCCTTGTGGCAGACTAGCAGAGAGCTTTGTGAGGAGGCACAAATTTCCCATCACCACCTGAGGCAGTTGCTTCATTTTGCCTCATGATAGAGCTGGCCCTATTTTACTGTGCCTTGCATGTAATATGTAGCTGTAACTTGCTTCAGCTTTTCAGCCCCTCTACACACTATGCTGGGATGCGGGTGGTGCTGTGGGTTAAACCACAGAGCCTAGGACTTGCCGATCAGAAGGTCGGCGGTTCGAATCCCTGCGACAGGGTGAGCTCCCGTTGCTCAGTCCCTGCTCCTGCCAACCTAGCAGTTCGAAAGCACGTCAAAGTGCAAGCAGATAAATAGGTACTGCTCTGGCAGGAAGGTAAATGGCGTTTCTGTGCAGTGCTCTGGTTCTCCAGAAGCAGCTTAGTCATGCTGGCCACATGACCTGGAAGCTGTACGCCGGCTCCCTCAGCCAATAAAGCGAGATGAGCGGCGCAACCCCAGAGTTGGCCATGACTGGACCTAATGGTCAGGGGTCCCTTTACCTTTACACACTATGCTGGCACAGTGAAATCCAGGTATGCCATTTGACCAACACACAACACCAATCAACATACAGGTGTCTGCCCGCCCCCCACCCCTATTTTCCACAAAAAATTTTATTTTAGATTTTTTAAATTGGATTGTTGTAGAAAAATGAAGGGGATAAAACAATTAATAAGATGTTTGAGGTGGTCTTATGCCTTCTAGGCATGTGCCCAGAAGAATGGTTTGAATTATTGGTGCTGCTACTTCGCTGTGGGTAAGAATAAGTGTGTTGTGTTTTGCCCCACTAATCTCATTGTTTCTTCCCCTTGTTGTCTATTTGTTTCGCCTCCTCCTTAAACAGTCTGTTAATTGGCTTCATTAAGAATAAAAGCGCTCCCTTATGGTGGGGATATCTGACTGCAGCTTTGATGTTTTCCTCTGCCGTGCTTCAGACGATAATCCTTCACCAGCATTTCCAGTACTGCTTTGTTACTGGGATGAGACTGAGAACGGGCATCATCGGGATGATCTACAGAAAGGTAGAAGCAAGCTAATGTTTTTGCAAGCACAGGCAGTGAATATGAACAAGAGATTTTTGCTTGAGGGGGCAGAAAGAAAGCACCGTATTTTTGTAATGTTGTAAAAAGGAGGAGCCAATAGGACTTGGCAATGCACTGAATATGAGGAGCGAAAGAGAGGGAGGATTCAAATGCACAAGCCCTGGACTGTGTACTGCATGCAATGGCAGGAAAAGACTTACGTCAACTATCTCTAATCCTGCACATACACATTCCATGTTTCGTCCGCTCTTAAAGAAAACATCATTAGATCCTTTAGATCTATCCAATTACCGCCCGGTTTCAAATCTTCCATTCCTGGGTAAGGTGATTGAGAGAGCGGTTGCTGAACAGCTTGGTAGGTTTCTGGATGAAACATCAGCTCTCGATCCATTCCAGTCCGGCTTCCGCGCTGGTCATGGGACCGAGACGGCTCTGGTCGCCCTAACAGATGATCTCCGCAGGCAGCTGGATCGAGGCGGGTCGGGGCTGCTGATTCTTCTAGACCTGTCAGCAGCCTTCGACATGGTCGATCACGAACTCCTGGACCACCGCCTTGCCGACGTGGGGATCCAGGGCACAGTCCTTCAATGGCTGCGCTCGTTTCTCTCTGGTCGGGGACAGAGGGTGGCGCTTGGGGGGGAATTGTCATCGCGCCACTCCTTGGTGTGTGGAGTGCCTCAGGGTGCGATTCTCTCCCCGATGCTTTTTAACATCTTTATGCGCCCCCTCGCCCAGCTTGTCTGGAGTTTCGGGCTGGGTTGCCATCAGTATGCCGATGACACCCAACTCTATCTGTTGATGGGCGGCCATCCTGACTCGGCCCCAGATACACTGACCAGATGTCTGGAAGCTGTGGCTGGATGGTTACGTGGGAGCCGGTTAATTCGAAAGTCTGGCTGGGACGGAGCGATATGGGATTGAGGGGGCAACTCCCATCTCTTGCGGGGGTGCAATTAGTGCCAACATCGTCCGTTAAGAGTTTGGGTGTAATCTTCGATACCTCCCTCTCTATGGAGGCGCAGATTACAGCTATAACAAAGGCGGCATTTTTTCATCTCCGCCAAGCTAAGCAGTTGGCTCCTTATCTCTCTCGCCCTGACCTAGCCACTGTGATCCACGCGACGGTCACCTCCAGACTGGATTATTGTAACTCGCTCTACGTGGGGCTGCCCTTGAGACTGACCCAGAAACTCCAGCGGGTGCAGAATGCCGCGGCGAGACTCCTTATGGGGTCTTCGCTGCAAGATCATATCCATCCGGTGCTATACCAGCTGCACTGGCTCCCGGTGGAGTACAGGATCAGGTTTAAGGTGCTGGTTTTAACCTTTAAAGCCCTATACGGCCTAGGACCTTCGTACCTACGGGACCACCTCTCCTGGTATGTCCCACAGAGAAATTTACGGTCTGCAAATAAAAACATCTTGAAGATCCCAGGCCATAGAGAGGTTAGGCTGGCCTCAACTAGAGCCAGGGCCTTCTCGGCCGCGGCTCCAATCTGGTGGAACGCTCTGTCACAAGAGACTAGGGCCCTGCAGGACCTGACATCCTTCCGCAGGGCCTGCAAGACAGAGCTGTTCCACCAGACCTTTGGTCAGGGCGCAGCCTGACCCCCTCCTCTGGCAATCGGCATTCTGCACAGAATTTTGCTTGATGGTTGCCATTAATTTGATTTTAATTTGATTTAATTAATTTTATAATGAATGTTTTTAGAATGTCGGACTATTTTGATTGTTGTTAGCCGCCCTGAGCCCAGCTTCGGCTGGGGAGGGCGGGATATAAATAAAATTTATTATTATTATTATTATTCTCAGTGTTCTGGCATTTGCAGTTTATTCATAAATGCTTCTGTTGCCACTTGCAACATTAAATCTTAAAGAATTAAGGATTTTTAATCTAGCTCTCAGCCTAGCTTTGACCACCCCCAATCCAGAACTGTCCTTTTATCTGCATTTCCATAATTCTGGCATTATTACTTAATCCTGCCCTTTTTCTCAGTTGGCTCTCATAAACCAGTGCTTGGGTGGCTGACATCTCAAGAACAACCCTGCAACTATTCAACTATCCACCCCCCGCCACTTGACATCTCCTTCAAAGACTTGGGCTCCCTTCACACGCACACATTCAGCCATGTGGAAGCAAGCTCAGATGTGGCTGCAGTCTTTGCATGTGAGATTACCAGAGGCATGTGGCTGAGGCTTAATGTGTGGGTCTTTCCGACCCATTAATTGCTTTCCTTCCAACATAGTGCCAGCTGGATGGAAAAGATCCACACGGATATGTAGGATTTTGTATAAATTGGTGTGCTTGTGAAGGTCTCCCTAATATTATGTTAGCAAGTAGAATGAATATAAACCCATTTTCTTTTGGTGTTTGTAACTGGATAATTAGGACCATCCTAACCATGTTCGCCACAGTTTTATTTTTGAATGTAACCCAAATTGCCCTTGGTATTGCCCAACACAGGCCTGCTTTTTGCAGGAAAACACATTTTGCTACCTGCTCAACACCAGATACACCATGCTATCGGGTACTAGCCCGATAGATGTGCCATACTGTCTTGCTTTTTTTATTAATCAGATTTGCTTAAAAGCGATTGTGTAAAAGCTAAATGAATTTGTGGCAGTTGAAAATCATTCTTGAATGAATAGTTCTTCAACTGGTAACACTAACCATTGCACACATGTAAAAAGTGGATTTGATGCTTGGTGTATTACATACTGTGCACATTTAGCTCTATTTGTGCATCATGTGTTTGCATTCTTGGTACCCCAGCTACAGCTGCTTGTGAAATCCTCACAAATACTTCTCCTCCATACCAAACTATTTTAATTATTCCTCTGTTTTGCAAGTTCCCCAAGTCATTTGTATAAACAGGATATATAAAAAAAATAGACTGTATTTGAGTTTGCTTATATTTGCATACTCAAATGAGTGCAGTAGTGGTTGGAACAATTTTATATCTTTAGTTATTAATGAGTGGCTAATATAACAATACAATGCATAATAGAAGCGCCCCCACCCCCCGTGAGTAGCAATCTTTGACATATCTTTGTTTTGTGGAAAAATCTTACATGTGGAAAATCTTACATGATGAGCCACTATGCAGAACAGCTGCCAGAGGGAGGGTCCTAGACTGACAGACCCAAGCTCACTTACAAGGAAGTAAGACCCATTGGACACAGTAAAGTCTTACTTGCTAGTGAACATTCACAAGATGGTGTTGTTAAAGTAGCTTCTATATAATGGTGGTGGTAACATGAACTGATCCTTAATATACATTTCCTGAAGAGCTTTCTTTCAATTCAAAACACTTAATATGGAAGGTTTGCATGTGGCGATCTTTCCCTATTGTTTATTCCTTTTGGACTAAAGTCTTTAGCAAGACACAGTTGATTGCTAACCAAATTATTGCCTTAGATCCAAAAATTTCTTCATTATCTGTTTATGAGGGAGAGGCACAGGATCTTACCTAAAGAGATCTCTTGAAGGCTGCAAGACATACTATAGCAAAGTTTGGGAGGTCTTTAAATACAAGAGCCATGGTTTATGGAACTCTGGGACTTGATGCTCATGGAAAAAGTAACTAACAAATTGCAGGAACAAAGAAGTAATAAGAAGTCAGGCAGCTTTAATTCACCTGTATGCTGCCAAAACGCAACAAGGATACAGGCATCCCATGGGGATCTTTGGAAATACAGTTTTTGTTTGATAAGAGGAATGGTTAATATAGAATATATGCTTCTACTGCATGGGATATAGTACTCTTGGGAAGTGGCAAAGAGGATGTTCTTTCTGTTCTGAAAAATAAGAGTTTTAAAAACATGGAAGGTTTTCTGGTGGGAGCTTGGAAATACACCAGGAACCAGTGAAGTTGCCACAAAGCTAGTGAGATATGTTCCCACCAGCCAGTCCAAGCTGGTGAGTCATGAAGCTGTAATCTGGGGTAACTGAAGTTTCTGAATAGTCTTTGGAGGTAGCCCCAGGACTGATGCATTGCAGTAGTCCAGTCTGGATGTTCCCGGAGCATGGATAGCTGTGGCCAGGCAATCTGCCCAGAATAGTATTCAGATAAAACACCAACTGAAGCAAATGGAAGGTATTTCAAGGCATGGAAGCCTCCAGTGACAGACCAGGATCTATCAGCATCTCTAAGCTGCAAACCTGATTCTTGGGGTGGTGGAAGTACAGGATCAAAATGTTACAAAATGAGGAAATATGCCTAAATAAGGGAGTTTCTCTCATTGTCTCTCCAGGCTTTAGTCATCACCAACTCAGCAAAGCGCTCTTCCACTGTTGGAGAAATTGTCAACCTGATGTCAGTGGATGCCCAAAGATTGATGGATCTGACTACCTTCCTAAACATGGTGTGGTCTGCACCGCTCCAGATATGCCTAGCTTTAGCCTTTCTCTGGCAGGTACAGAGTCACTTATGTTTGTTCTCTCCGATTTGGCACAATGTGCAGCCACTAAGCTTAAGGCTGACCCAGCTTGAAGCGGGAAAGAGATTGTGGAAAGTCACATTGCATGCAACCTGTTGCTCCCAGCAGAATTCCAAGCCCTTGTCTTTAGAATGTTCTGTCTGAACAGATGAATAACTGAGGATGCAGAGCTCAGGTGAGCTGCAATATCCTTAGATTTAAAGAGCCATAGCAGGAGTATAATGGGAGAAGGATCCTAGAGATGAGTTTAGGGGGTGGTTTTTATTTATCTCAGTTTTTATTTGCATAGCTGCTGTAGAACATTGCAGTCCTCAATTCCCCCTTAGCTCAATAAAATAGCTCTCTACTGATAAACATAAAAAACAGCTTCTCAGGTTCATTTTTTGTCTGCTTTTGTCTCTATGCCTAACATAAACTGGTGCATTTGCGAAGCAGGTTATGGAACCATTTTTTACCAGTTTGCTTCTATGTAGAGTGCCAGTATACATCATCCAAGGAGCCATTTTTAGCAGTGCCTGTGGTGGTTGTAAATAAATACCCAAAGATTTTGAATTCACAGTCAATTAGCTTTTACTCAGAGTAGACCTACTGAAATTAGCAGAGCTAACTTAGCCGTGTTCATTAATTTCAATGGGTCTGTTCTGAGTCAAACTTTGTTGAATACCACCCTTTCTGTTCCCCTGTCCTCCATTCCTTCCTTAGCTTCCAAGTACACATACGTGACTGCTTCATGCAGATAAAAAGAGAAGTTCCATAAGGATTTTGCAGAGCTTCTCTAGGTTCTTGCACTTCATGTTGAAAATCTATTTAGTCAACTTTAGCCATGTAAACATTTCTGTGCTTTAGTGGTTAGAGTGCTGGACATAGCTTCCTGTGTGACACTGTAAAATGAGAGGAGGATCATGTGTGGAACTTTGAGCTTCTAGGAGGGTATAAATACAATAAATTCCAGTTTTTTAAAATATTAATTGGAAGAGAATAGAATAATGACTGATGTGTTTTGCATCGTTTTGAAGGAATTAGGGCCGTCTGTGCTGGCAGGAGTTGCTGTGATGGTCTTACTCATCCCATTTAATGCTGTAATAGCTATTAAAACCAGAGCACTCCAGGTAAGTAAACTCTAGTACATCCATTCCAAACTCATTTGGATTGTCTAGCTGAGGCTCCCTGCAAAAGGAAGCAGAAAGAGGGTGCTGGCAGATTAGTCAGCACTTAGAGCAATTTGACTACCGTGTGCAGAGCATGGCTTCTTTGCACCTGCTTGTCTGCCCTGGGATTTCTGACTTGCCTTGCCTTCAAATCTCACCGTGAAACTTTACCTGAGCTGCTGCCTGCTCAAGGCCCTTCTCCTGTCTGTTTTTCCCTGAACACGGTCCTGATTATCTTGTGCCCTGGACTTCATTCTCATTTGCTTTCTGTCTAGAAAAGATTCTGCAAAACCTCTTCTTGCAGATTTCCCATTTTTTTTCCAGAGCAGTGGGTAGAAGAAAATTTTTCCACAGTGCTTTCTTTTTCCTGTCAATACAGTGGTACCTCTGGTTACAAACTTAATTCATTCCAGAGGTCTGTTCTTAACCTGAAAACTGAGGTACCACTTTAGCTAATGGGGCCTCCCGCTGCCACTGAGCCACCAGCGCACAATTTCTCATCTCATCCTGAGGTAATGTTCTTAACCCGAGGTACTACTGTACTCTGTGTTTGTTACCTGAGGTGTTTGTAACCCGAGGTACCACTGTACTCTGCTCAGAAGGAGCATGATGGGTGAGAATGCCCATAGAGTAGAGGTCCACTGTGCCCTCCACTCAGTATAGTTTTGAATCACAGAGCTGTAGATCTCAGAGATCATCTGGATCAGTTCTGTGAACTGCTTGACATCCTACCCTGTGATTATTATTGAAATTATAACATTCCGTACACAGTGAGCAAAGGAAGCCAAGAGCAATTAGACAAGTGTTTGGAATATATTCACATATATATGCTAAGGATACTGCCATGAGCACCATTAATGGATGCCTTTGCCATGAAAACTTTCAATGCAGCTTTATTCCCAGGTACATGTAGGATTGCAGCATTAAGAGTTTTACAGCCAGTTCTAATGGGAGTGATACTAAAATTCGTTTTCTTTCACCGACTGCTAATAATTAGCTCATTTTAATTGTGAGGGGATGTTTAAAAACATCTGATTTTTATTTACATTTTAGTGATCCTGTATTGGTGCTGCTTATTTTCTGCACTGCATTTCACTTAAGCTGAGCATGAACTTTAACTCTGCAGCTGCTGCTGTTTCTGTTTTCCTCACTCTCCTTATACTTCCACGGTGCAGTTCTTTTGTGGCTTGTCAGTTGAACAAGAGCACACGATGAAAGGAATTCAGTGAAAGATAATTTTCTTTTGTGGGCGGGGGGAATACAACCACCACCACCTAATGGTGAATTGCCTGATGCTGTAGGCTGCCATGTCTCCAGTGCCCCCTCCACCGACCTTAAAAAGTCACCTAAATAGTAAATAGGAACCATATTCCTTCCCTTGGCTGCTTGACAGTGGTTTCTGTAACACCAGCAAGGACAGAAGTGTGATGGAAAGAGTCCAGAAAAAAGCCTCAGTGAGTGATTAATGGCTTTTCTTTCTGCCTCCTTTATGATGATGAGTCTGCCAGCAAAAGAACCACACACAGAATATCAGGCTGGTTTCAGCTTTGTTCTAAGTACATAAAGATTAAAATGCAACCTATGTCCCAGTGACTGAGAGCTAAGCTTCACATATTACATCTTGAACATATTCGAAAATTGGGAACAGAGAAAATTGCCTTACAATGAGTCAGACCATTGGTCCATCTTGCTCAGTATTGTCTACGCCCACTGGGATTGTGCCCAGGGTTTCAGACAGAGAATCTCTCCCAGCCCTACCTGCAGATCCTGGGGATCAAACCTGGGACCTTCGGCATGCAAAGCAGATGCTCTGCAACTGAGCTGTGGCCCTTCCCCTATCCTATAATTATTGCATATCAAGTAGCCAACGGCCAGTGCTAAGGAAGAGTCCAAATAAGATCTTATTGACAAATGTTTCTCTTTCTCCACTAAACCCAAACAAGCATGAGTTACAGCTCATAAGGAATCATTTACAGTTCTCTAGGGTCTCTTGCACATGTTTTTCTTAGAATGTCCTGCCTCAGATCCTTTTAAATGGACGCGGGTCCTCGGGCTTGCCGATCAGAAGGTTGGCGGTTCGAATCCCCGCGACGGGGTGAGCTCCCATTGCTCAGTCCCAGCTCCTGCCCACCTAGCAGTTTGAAAGCACGTCAAAGTGCAAGTAGATAAATAGGTACCGCTCCTGCGGGAAGGTAAACGGCATTTCTGCCGGCTCCCTTAGCCAATAAAGCGAGATCAGCGCCGCAACCCCAGAGTCAGTCACGACTGGACCTAATGGTCAGGGGTCCCTTTACCTTGGGTAGAGAAACATTAATGATTAAAAAATAAAAATGAAATGGACTTTGTTCATATGTATCTAATGGGGTTTTTTGGGGGTGAAACAAAACAAAACTAGAAGCCAGTACTCCTATCTTAATAAAAGTGCTGTGAGTACCAGTGCAATATGCCAGTCCTAGACAGTGAAAAGGGGATTATGGTTCCTGAGATCAAGAAGCGGGATTTTATCTACGTTTGGATAGAGCTGTATGCCATTTTGAAGCGAGGTCAAAGCTGTACTGCTTTTTGGGCTTCTTAGAATTCCCAGGCAACACATGGTATGAGGCTACTAGTAGTAAACAATTGGGATATAAGCATGTTAATCCCACATTTAATCTCTAAACTGAATCAACATCCTTGACCAGATACAGTGAGTTAAAGTGGGGTTTTCTTTATTGTTCACATGCCCAACCCATAATAAATTGTTATTCATCTTGCAATGAACATACCTACTTATTTACAATTGTGTAGAAGTACACCATCCATTCAGAAAAGTGGGTGTGGTATTTTAATAGTATCTAAATTTATGAAAGTATTGTTTTGTTATTCCTTGGAGACCTGGACACAGGAAGCACGGTGCAAGTTGTTATACAAATGGCTATTGGTTAATGGTGTTCTTTATCATTGTTTAGGTGCAACAGATGCGCTACAAAGACTCCCGCATCAAGCTAATGAATGAAATTCTAAATGGCATAAAGGTACTCAAGCTCTATGCTTGGGAACCATCCTTTGCAGAAAAAGTTCTGGAGATAAGGAAGAATGAACTGCAGGTTTTGAAGAAATCAGCCTACCTAAATTCTTTGTCAACATTTGCATGGATCAGTGCACCGTTTCTGGTAAGCTTTGTTTGTGTACCTTATCTTTTGTCAGAGGAACTGTCTGCACGTTGGCAGGACCGTCCTTGTAACTTAACCAGGGAAAACATGGAACGTCTGTGAAAAGTCCAGTTGCTGAGTTATTGTTCATGCAATGCAAGAAATGGGCATGGCTTGACTTCTTCTCAGGATGTGGCAGCTGGGAGAGGGGCCTAAGCCCTGTAAAATGATGCAGTACTACAGGAGAGGAAAGATGACTGAGCATGAGTTCTCTGTAAATCAAAGACGGGGAACCTGTGGCCACCCAGAGCTTGACGGACATCTATTCCCATCAACCCCAGCCAGTTGAGGATGCTGGATGTTGCAGACTCAACATCTGGAGTGGGGGGTGTCACAGGTTTTCCATCCTTACTCTAAGCATGGCAATTTTTACTGCTATTCATAATAATGTAATTATAATTCTCTTCCTGGAAAGCATAATAAAGAGAGAAGATTGGTTTGATCTGGACTTTCCTGGGCTGTCTACTTACCTGCTACATAAAAAATATTAAGCCTGTAGTAGGCTATCCTTCACATTGCCAAATTCTGAAACTACTTTTAAACTACTTTTTAAAAAAATAGTATTGGTGGTCAAAGTTCCATCTAGTCTGGCACTCTGTCTTCAACTAGGACTAGTCAGTTATGCCAGGGAAGCTCATGATGGAAAAAACAATCCTGTACCTGTTCATTGTCCCCAGTATCAGAAGTATACTATCTTCTGTGAACATGAAAGCTGCATTTGGCCAGCAGCCATTATGTTCTATAGATGTGTATAATCCTTTAAAACAGGGATAGGGAACCTATAGCCCTGCAGGTGTTGCTGAAATACAACTCCCGTCATCCCTGTTAATCACCCATGCTGAGTGGTGGAAGTTAAGAGTAAAAAGAAAGAAAGTAAAACCTGGCCACAGTTATCCACCCCTGCTTTAAAAAATCATTTTAGCTAGTAACCATCCCCAGTATTTTGTGGCAGTGAATTCCATAACTTGAGTAAGTGTATGAAGAAATACATTTCCCTGCCTTATCTTGTAGCTGTTGCCAGTCAGTTTCAAAGAGTGACCCTGAATTCTAGTGCTATAAAATGTTGTTTCACTGTTGTTTCACTAGGATAGATGGAATGGACTGAGTGATACAGAACCTATTAGTATTTTTGCTAACAAATCAAATATGTCACATTTCCACCCTCCTAAGAGATTATCTTACCCCCAGTATTTAGATAGGACTAGATTATCAACTAACTAGGCAATATAAGATCTCTTATGAAGGCAGCGTACTTCTTTGAGCTTCATTGTGTGTTCTGACAGAATTTACACTGACAAGATTTTTTTTAATAATATTTATTTTCCAGCATCTCCGCCAAAATCAATTACATTCCCAGGTTAAAATGCTTGACTTTTATATCATGACTGAGTTCCCTTTCTTTGACCCTCAAGCCCCCTTCCTGTTAACCTAACCATGAAGTGCTTTAAATTCTGTTCACTCCCAAAGATATTCATCTTCACCCATTTACATCATAAGCAGAAAATATTAACAATACTATCTTTAGTAGCTAATCAGATAGCCTTCCTCCAAATTCTTTATCTAAAGCGTATGTTATCATTTCCTAAGTTTAAAAATGTTCTGTAAGTGTGGTTTCAACACTAACAGAAAGAATGCTCAGAACAGAAAGAAAAGGTCAGAGACGGAATCGAGCTTAAGAGGAGAATAAATCCATCCCATCTTTTTTGTGTTTTAACCTTCTACTGCAATATGTAGTCAAACAATAATAAGCCAGGCTTTTTGTACATCACAAGTCTTACAAGGTTGAGAAAAGCACAAGATGCCACAATTAGAATGATTAGACAAGAGTGCAAAAGAACTCGAAATGATTTAATTTGATCTTGCTAGTTTGCAGTTTTGTCTATTAAAAGGGAATGCACTGAATGCCTACATGATTAAGAATAATGGAGGATGAAGAATGTCATATAGCAGAAATCTGCCAGCTCTTCTTGCCAAAGTGTTAAATTAAATAATAAATAGATAGGATCCATTTCTGTAATGGAAGTCCGGGGGGGGGGTTATTGTAATTTTTATCTTTATTGTAAAAGATACAGTACTGGATATTGAAATGGATTGTGTTATTAGGATAATTATATTTTGTATGGTTTGTCCCACCATTTGCTTACGTAAAGGCAATTGCCATGAAGTTTTGGAATGGAATATTGTAGAAAAGGGCATGGCTGGCTGGAACTCTGAACAGGACTCAGCTTTGTTCCTATCCCGTCTCATAATTTTAAATTGTTTTTTCCCCTATACCTCTGCAATCTCATAGATACCCTCCTTGAGACAGGACAACCAAAACTTTGCACAGTATTCTTTGACTGAATCATATCATGGCATGATGATAGTTTGGGCGGGGGGGGGGGTCATCACTTCTCCTAAATATTTCCTATATCTGTGAAATGAGTTTACTACTATGCCTACGTGGCAGGAAAGGGCAAGTTAAAAGAGCTCAACATGCTATACTGTGCAGCTGAGATTCTGGTTTAAGTAAGCAGACTATATTCTGAAACATTAATTTTGAGTTCGGGGTGTCTAGGAATGGCCTTTATGACACAGTGGACTTTCTACGACAAGCAGTAACTATCCTGCCTCACCTTGTTTACACCAGCTTTCCTCATTCTTTAAGGTAACACTGTTCAGTGTGGAGTTGAGGTACACTAGGAGATCTGTGAGAAAGGGTAGCTATTTTATGTAGTTCTCCTTGTAGCAGAATGCTCTGCAAGATTAATTTTCCAACCTTACTAGGAGAAAGGAGAACAGGGAACTCTTCTGCCCCCATGCTCTGCATATCAGATCCACAGTGGTCAGGGGGACCAATTCAGTGTTGTTATAGAATACTGAGTTGCTGCTGCTATTATGAAACACCTTCTGGAGGCTGAATTCCTTGTACTCCTTTGTATTATATTTGCATTTTTGTGGCGTGGTGCCATGCTTTCTTGTTCCATAGCATATTAGCATATCAAATAATCCAACCAATTGTTCCTTCATCCCATACAGATTGTTCCTTTCAGATATTATATTTCCAGGAAAGCTACATTTGATTCCCTTTAAAAAAAATCAAGCCGACAGGTGTTGTTTATTCAATTTATTTTTCTGGCTTCCAGGTTGCCTTGACCACCTTTGCCGTTTACGTCACCGTAAATGAAAACAACATCCTTGATGCAGAAAAAGCCTTTGTGTCTCTCTCCCTCTTTAATCTCCTCAGGTTCCCGCTCAATATGCTCCCCCAGGTCATTAGCAACATCGCACAGGTAAGAATGCAGCCAGTCCTTTATTTAAATAAAAAGCAAAGGCTATACCAAATCTAAACATAACTTAAGGAGTGGGTGTCTGAACCAAGCCAGACGTGATCATGACCAACCTGTTGGTTTAAATCCAGTGCCCCACCCCAGCCATGTAGGGGCCACCTCCAAACCAGACTATAGTAGCACACTGTACATAGGGCTGATGCAGATTAACAGCCCATGTGTACCATTTGCACCAGCAAAACAAATTGAGCGGCAGATAAATAACCTCCTGAATTAATGCACAGTTCTTCCCTTAGGACCGCAATAACGAAAATTCATTTTTCTCTCTCCCCCTTTTTGTTTGTTTGTTCTGCTAGACGAGCGTTTCACTGAAGAGGATTCAGCACTTCTTGTCAAATGATGAACTTGATCCAGGCTGTGTTGAAACCAAGTTAATTACTCCAGGTAATAATACACTGGAGTCATTTCATTTGTATAGTGGAGCTGGATAGTGGAGGAGGAAGAAATGGTAGGAGTCTCATATTTGGTTAATGCAGCCCCACAGTTGTAGCCTGTGTGTGTTTCTAACATCAAGGCAGCAAGTCGGAGCTTCTCGGACTTATGCCTCCTCCTGTGAAGCACCCTCCCAGGTGGCCCTCTGTTGGCCTCTCCATTTGAGAAAGCCTCTCCATTTGCAGGAAAAGAGGGGAAGGAAGTGTTGAGCCGTCCTTGAGCTGCTAAGAATTAGACTGCACAAAGCACTTGGGTATAATCTCCAGAGAACGGCCAGGCCTGGCTAGGGGAGATAAACAAGTGTGCATTTCAGTAATTGCTACTGGATAAATATTTAAGCTGTGGTTGCTGGATGTCTCTTATTTTAAAAGTTTCCCCTCTTATTCCATAAACACAGCAGCTGCATAGAGGATTATGGATGTTACTGCAGAGTCCCGTCAGTCTGTAGCGTTCCACATCTACCAGCTCTCCAAAGTGGTGGTGGTGTTTTTTCAAAAAAAGGAGTTTGAAATGTTGATCCGGCACTGACCTCAACCGCATGACTTGTGGTCGGGCACGTGACAGAGTGCTGCTTGAGCAACAAAAAAGAAGAAAACTTTTGTGTTCCCCATAGCTCATCAACAAATGCATCTCACCAGTCCTTTACCCCACCACTTCCTTCTCATTAAAGAGGCCCAGTTTGAGATTTCTGCTGCCCACTCCCCCTAGCTACTGTGAAATCCGATGCGCGTGCTCAGAAGTCCCACTGAATTTAATTAGGTATAGGACTGCAGCATTAGATTATGTCTTCTTTTCTTAAATACAGGGTATGCTGTTACTGTAAGAGATGGAACATTCAGCTGGGCAAAGGATCTTGAGCCAGCTCTGAAAGAGTAAGCAAGCTTTACTCACTTGTACATATTTGAATTTCCTTACTGCTTATACCTTGAAGCCAGCTCCCTCGGCCTGTAAAGCAAGATGAGCACCACAACCCCAGAGTCGTCTGCGACTGGACTTAACTGTCAGGGGTCCTTTACTTTTTTTTTAAACAGTTCCATAAATTTGCCAAATATGGGGCAAGAGCATACATCAGTATTCAGTATTCAAAGGTATAATTAACACATGGTTACCTAGAATTAATGGGACATAAAAGTGCGCAGCTTTGACTGGATTGTGTCCATGCTTGTTTCTACTTTTTGCTTTTTGTTTGCTTTATACACTGAATTTTTGCATTTTCAAAATGTAAATATGGTTGCCCCATATTCCTTGCTCCTGTCCAGTAATAACACTAATGTGCAGAATATATGCAGACCTGGCAAAGAAAAAACAAACTTGGTAGAGTTGCCATAGTTCAAGAAGCGAAAATCTGAACAGAAACAAATTGTTGAGCAAAAAAGAGAGATTTTTCAGTTGTGTTGCCGAATATCCAGGACAAACCGCCGCTTTTCGGAAAATCCCCCTGGACGTCACTTCTGCCATTGAAATCCCGGTATTGTCTGGGAAAATCCAGATGTGTGGCAACCCTAAACATGGGGAAAGCACTGAAGATATAGAGTGTATTTTAAATCCCACCAAACTGGAGAGTTCTCTGGTTACTTGTGAAGCAACCTGCTGCATTAAAAAAATTCTCTGCCAAATGTATCTGGCAGTATCTCTGCCAGTGTTACATGCAGCTGCCAAGACAGTTACTATCTTAATCTAGGCACAAATTATGGGCCGCCTATATACTTAAGGCATCTGGGAACCTACGGGTGGAGGAGGGACACATGACTGCCTTTCAGATGCCAAGTCAGCATGAGTAGACTTTTTCAGCACTTCTTAGTGCCTTGAAATTGTCTTGTGAAAAGCTTTGGTATTTGTCCAAGTCATGACTCATCAAATCTAGTGCGCACACAAAAAAGTTATGAAATGTGGTGACTTGCAACAGGAACATGTGTAAGTAAGTAAATAAATCATGGCTCTGTTTTAGTGCACCACTGCAAAAGTAAAATCTCATTCAGCTGAACACATACAAAAAGGGACATATGACCCAAAGTTGAAAAAGGTCGGCTGGGAAATGGTAGGGAGCTCTTTGCAACTCACTACAAATTGAATCTAATTGTGTCTCTTTATTTTTTTAAGTTGGCTATGAGACTCCTATGTGTTGTCATGACATCTTTCAGGCTTCCCTCTTCTGAAGGCATTAACTCTCCAGTCATTCTTTCCCTGACCACATGACCAAATCTGGGGAAAGCTGATTAAACAGAATCTCTGGTGGAATGCTGTGTTGAATTCCTGCCAAGGAGAGTACATACCTTGTGCTTAAACACAGCACGTAAAGAAAGACAGATACGTTTTTTACTTTATGATGGAAATTCCAGAGAGCAACTATCTTAAGTCTAGTGCAATAAAAACAGCTCAAAAGATCTGATAACATCAGTTATGACCTACAAAAGCTTATGTCACAATATTTTTAAGATGCCACAGGATTCTGCTTGGCTTTATTATCTTTACATTAACTAGTTCCATTTTTATTATTTTTTGGTCAGCAAATTAGTCCATCCTCAGTTTTACCTTCTTTTACTCCCTACAGCATCAATTGGTTGGTCCCTAGTGGTTCTTTGGTGGCTGTTGTTGGACATGTTGGCTGTGGGAAGTCATCCTTGGTGTCTGCTCTTCTTGGAGACATGGAGAAGCTCCATGGGAACGTGGCCGTGAAGGTTGGTTTACAGTACAGCACTGTATCCATTTTGAGCATTTGGAAAATATTTGTGGCTTGCAAAGTGATCTGCTTTATGTATGTTTTTGATACCTCCTTTTAGGGTTCAGTCGCTTATGTTCCCCAGCTAGCCTGGATCCAGAATGCCACCTTGAAAGATAACATCTTGTTTGGCCATCTTCATAATGAGAAGAAGTACCAAACTGTCTTAGAGGCATGTGCTTTGAAGCAAGATCTCGATATGCTTCCAGGGGGAGATCAGACTGAGATAGGCGAGAAGGTAAGGTCTTTTACAGCAAATGTAGGTGGTGATGGTTGCCCAAGGTGGTAAAGGACACAAGTCATTCCTCACTAAGTGTCTTCATAACCTTCCAGATGCGGTCGAGCTGACTGGCTTGACTGACCTCAGTGCTAAGCCTGCCCTCTCCAGCCAGAGCCCTGCAATGAATCACCAGGTTCACTGGAGTTTCAGAACACCATTGGCCTATAATTATGGACTAATACCATATTGGCCTGAATATAAGCCGCGACCTTACAAAAATTGGCTTTTACGATATCGCTGCTGAAACAGACATATGGTAAAACAGAACAAAAATTGTTTTCTTGCCGATTTGCAAGCTTGAGACTGTTTAACCCACTTGTGGGTCCTCTCTAGTACCCGCAGGATTTTCTTCTACATTTGCCATTTAGGGGTGTGAGTGCCTGCGGAACTGTACATTTCCGAGCACATTTCAAAGTGTTGCTGCTGACCGTTAAAGCCCTAAATGGCCTCGGTCCAGTATACCTGAATGAGTGTCTCCACCCCCATCGTTGTGCCCGGACACTGAGGTCCAGCGCTGAGGGCCTTCTGGCGGTTCCCTCACTGCAAGAAGCCAAGTTACAGGGAACCAGGCAGAGGGCCTTCTCAGTAGTGGCACCCGCCCTGTGGAATGCCCTTCCACCAGATGTCAAAGACTACCAGACTTTTAGAAGACATCTGAAGGCAGCCCTGTTTAGGGAAGCTTTGAATGTTTGATGGACTATGCAGTGTTTCCCAACCTTGGGCCTCCAGCTGTTTTTGGACTACAACTCCCATCATCCCTAGCTAGCAAGACCAGTGGTCAGGGATGATGGGAATTGTAGTTCAAAAACAGCTGGAGGCCCAAGGTTGGGAAACACTGGACTATTGTATTTTAATATTCTGTTGGAAGCTGCCCAGAGTGGCTGCGGAAACCCAGCCAGATGGGCAAGGTATAAATAATAAATTATTATTATTGTAGCAATTGAATAGCGATTTGCTATTTTAGCTATTGTAACTTTCCGGGTATTGTCTTTTTTTATCTTTTCCCCTTGAATTTTAAAGGTGCGGCTTATTAGTGGGTGCGGCTTATATTCGGGCCAATACTGTAGATCTGAATGGAATGTCCACAAAAGGACCTATCATATTCTGACCTTTTTGATTTCCACTGGATCATATAAAAGCAGTGTTCTCTAAACAACTTGATATAGCTGAAATCTCCCAAGATAACCATCATCCGATGTGTTAACCATCTTCAGGAACACTGTCATTGCCACTTGAACCCCAATACAATGCATCTCTCGCACAACGGCTAGGAGTACCACCCCCCTTCAGTTAACTGCAAGAAAACTGTCACAAGCAACATTTTTACATTTAAATTTCTCCACTGTTTCACAGGGACTGTCTCTAATATTTTTACTTTAGATCAACATCCATTGATTTATAACAAACAGCCCATGGACATTGTAATAGAATGTCTGAGCTATTGACCATACAGATATTGCAGTTGTTTTGTTCACCCTGCTTCTGCTGAAGCTGGTAGCAGTGTTGAATTTAAAAGCTATGGTGTGCTTTTTCTCTTTTCCCCATCTCACAGGGCATCAATCTCTCAGGTGGCCAGCGGCAACGAGTGAGCCTTGCCCGTGCTGTTTTCAGCGAGGCTGATGTTTATTTGCTAGACGACCCCCTTTCAGCTGTGGATTCCCATGTGGCCAAACACATATTTGACAAAGTTATTGGACCAGAAGGAATGCTTAAAGGAAAAGTGAGCTAACAAACATCTAAAATTCTCCATGTCTGCAGTCACTTCAGCATAGTACTGTACAAGAACATGGTGACACATGTAGAATTGTGTGAAACTTTTCTTTTCTTTGGGTGAGGGAAGGGAAGAGACAGAGAGAGTTTCTAGCCCCCCTAAAATTATTAAAAGTAGAAATGATTGAAACTATGTAAGCCATGATCTCAGAACATGTTTAGTGTGGAAGTTGACCTCCTTTGCCACCCAAAAAGCCCACTTCCTCATTCTCAGTCATATGTTTCTATATAGCAGCAGCTTTGCACTAATGTGCAGCTAGAAAAGCAATCCTATTTTGTTCAGGCTTAGATGGCTTCTAACTGGTTTCATTCTTACATGACTGTTTGCTGTAATCGCAAATTGCAGCTTCTTGACAAACCGCCTGTTTTAATTCTTACCTTGCTAAAACAAAAGCAGGATGGGTATCGCCTGACCATTGTCTTGTTTCCCTTTTCAGACTCGAATTCTGGTGACCCACAGCATCAATTTTTTGCCACAGGTAGACCACATTGTTGTACTTATAGATGGCAAAGTCTCTGAAATGGGGTCCTACCAAGAGCTTTTGCAACAAAACCAGGCTTTTGCAGAGTTCCTCCGCAATTTTGCACCTGATGAAGACATAGAAGAAGATGAGCCTACAAGTAAGGATTCCCACCTCCCTGCCTCAAATTTATCCTCAGACTGTTAGTAGTTACATCATGCCAGATTGAAATGCTAGGAGCAGTTTGGAACTGAGTTTAAATCTTTTTTTTAAAGAAAAAGCATACAAAGTGATGAGCACTTTCCCATATATGTATAAATGTAGCCCTTAAAAAAACTTGGGGGGACGATGACAAAGATGCCTACTATTCAAGAACATTTGGGGTTCCCCACCCCCATTTTTGTAGAGAATTGATACTGAGTGGACCAGGGGATCCTTGCAACCTGGTCTAGTCAGTGCCATCACTCTGTTTACTACTAGGGGAAAAGGCTGTGATTAAGAATTAGGACTGGAAGTAGCTAGCTGTAGGTTGGTAGGTTGGTTTTTCCTTGAGATGAGGCTTTTCTTTACCTTCTTCCCCCACCTCCTCATTACACTTGTATAATTATAATGCCATGGAATCATCAGTCAATCCTATTTCTTTCCAGAAATGCTTCCATGTATACTTGTTATAATTCACAAGGTTCACAATGCTGTATCACGGGACCCTATTAGCCCCACTCCTTGTGTCAAAGCTGGCATCCCAGGCCTGATTATTCAGATATTGCATAGAAATCCAAACACACTGAAGCCCTCTTTATTTTCCCTAAAGAGTTGAACTTCCTTCTTGATTTTCAGTCTTTTTTTGTGGCTTGGGAAGCTGTACACTCAGCAAAACCTTTCTAAAAGATTGGCTCAGCAAAAAGCCAAAATAAGCTAAAGATTTCCTATCCCATTACATTAGTGGAAGATGAGGAGGTCCTGCTTGCTGAAGACACACTCAGCAACCACATAGATCTGGCAGACAATGAACCAGTGACAAACGAAGTCCGTAAGCAATTCCTAAGGTAAACCCTGAACCTCTCTTTAAAGGCGTTACTACAGAAATTAAGCGAACTTGCCTGTTCTGTCGTTCAGCTGCGTAATTACCATAATTCTTATTTTTCTCCTCCACCCCACCCATTTTAATACATAAAACACAGAGAGCTGAGTGTAATATCTTCAGATGGGGAATGCCCTGGTAAAATGTCAATGAAAAGAAGAGTGTGTGAGAAAAAGCCACCTGAGACAACTCAACCCAAGAAAAGTCCTAACAAACTCATTGAGGCAGAAACTGCTGAAACTGGCACGGTAAGAAAGGTTTGCTTAAACAATAAGGACACTTTACTTCTTCAAAGATGCTTCCTAATTTATTAAAAAGTACCTAGCATAGGAGGGACGCAGGTGGCGCTGTGGGTTAAACCACAGAGCATAGGACTTGCCGATCAGAAGGTCAGCGGTTCGAATCCCTGCGACGGGGTGAGCTCCCGTTGCTCGGTCCCTGCTCCTGCCAACCTAGCAGTTCGAAAGCATGTCAAAGTGCAAGTAGATAAATAGGTACCACTCCAGCGGGAAGGTAAACGGCGTTTCCGTGCGCTGCTCTGGGAATAATATATTGAAACACCACTTAACATTTTCTCATTTCTCTTTGACACAGAGCACATATATACTTTTCCCCATTACATGGGACTCTTCTTTATTTAGAGTCATCAAGTATGAATCCTCCCTGGTTATATATTGCTTCTATTTCTATAACAGTTCTATGTTTTCCATATGATACCTCTACTCTGGACATCCTTCTGTTGCAGCCACATTTTCTGCCTTCAGGAATGCCTGCATAATGTGATTTCATGTTGGTGATTCCTAGTTCACTCTTTGCACAAATTCTGACTCTGGCAAGTGGCTAGTTTTTCTGTGAAATTAAAGGCATTGGTTTTTATAAATTAAACAAACTCTGTTTTGTCTCAAACTGCAGGTCAAGCTGACTGTTTTCTGGCAATACATGAAGGCTGTTGGCCCCCTAGTTTCTTTATTTATATGTTTCCTGTACTGCTGTCAAAATGCTTCTGCAGTCGGGGCCAACGTGTGGCTCAGTGACTGGACCAATGAACCGGTAATAAATGGCACTCAGCGCAACGTGGGCAAGCGAGTCGGAGTCTATGCTGCCCTGGGTCTCTTGCAAGGTTAAGTGTGTTATTTGCTACTGCTCCTATAGATTTAAATCCACCTTGCTAGCGGAGCTAGAGGAAATGGTGTGTGGTATGGAATTTACTGGTGGTTCTTAAACAGTGGTCTAGGACAAAGGTCTGATGGCATTCCCAGGTAAATGGATTGAAAGGAACAGAGGGAAGAGCCAGAAGTTTAATTGTATCATTCTGTCTGGCAAGCTTAAATGTTTACAACAACACAAAGTCGAATTCTACCCTAGGAACAAATATTCCTATATCATAAATAGGGATGTCTACATTGCTCCTTGCACAATAAAAGTTGGTTTATTTATTTAGTTGTAAGATGTATATCCTGCCCTTTAGTAAACAAAATTGATCAAAAGTCATATCATATAAAATTACAATCAAATCAGCCAGAAAATATTTGCAGAATTTAAAAATCACAGTCTAATCTCTCTATATGCAACCTCCTGCCATCCGTCACGTGATGCACGAGGTGATGCTATCGATTTGTATAGCCTGCTAGAGGAGTTGCAAAGTTACGATGAGAACAGGGCCACATGCAATTGGTACACTCAAGTCTTCTGCTTATTTCTCCCTTTTGCAAACAGGGGTTTTTGTGCTGATCTCCTCTTTTACTCTGGCAATGGGTGGCATCAGAGCGGCTCGTACTCTCCACTCCGGATTGCTGGAGAACAAACTCCACACCCCACAGTCTTTCTATGACACAACTCCAATTGGCCGAATCATCAACCGCTTCTCGAAAGACATCTATGTGATTGATGAAGTGATACCGCCAACTATCTTGATGTTCCTAGGAACCTTCTTTGTTTCTGTGTCAACGATGATTGTGATCATAGCAAGCACCCCACTCTTTGCTGTGGTTATAATACCTCTGGCAATCCTATACTTCTTTGCCCAGGTAATTGGGATAAGTACCTTTTTTGGCTTCATTGCTTGTTTTCTTAATTTTTTTAACAGAATGTTAGGTGGCTGGCATAATCTTTCTATTTTTTTAGTATTCCAAGCCCCAAATGTGCATCCCTTAATATGTGTGTGAATACTGGATGCAATTACTTTGAATGCAGAAGCTGAAGTTCCAAAGTAGGATTGTCTGAAGTCTCTTACATTCTGCAAAATAGCTTTTGCAACATTTAGTTGTTGTTAGGCACAGCAAGAAGGGAATAGGAGACATAGAACAGGAGAGGTGGCTAACTCACCAGCAGCCTTAGATAAGACTCTTGTGGCTCTCTGGACCTTTCATAGCAGCTCTTGCATGTTTTCAAAGCATTCTCTCTTTTTAATTGCTTTTTTGTTCTGTTTATAAAGTAATCACTAATGAAAAGGCAGGCAAGGGCATAATATTGCAATGCCACAGAGTAAGAACATATATTCTAAGGGAAGTTTGCTTTCTCATTAATTGAGAAATAGAAGCTCACAAATCACAACCTATAAATCAGTTAAACTTTCTGTGAAATACATTAACTTAATTGATGGAGGCATTCCCCCCCCCCCCGTTTTAGATAGCCATCCCTCTATCAAAGGGGTATTCCTTTTGGAGACAGCTTTTAACTAGACATAGTTTAGCAAACGCTGACCCATAAAACCAGTGCAGGTGCACCCATGGACACTGCTTTGGCAACCCATGACTTCTTCTATGATAGGTGGAGAACTTATTTCTCTCTAGATGTTGTTGGACTTGAAAATCCATCAGCGCCAGCCAGCATGGCTAGTGGTCAATATGGGAGTTGCAGCCCAGCAACATCTGGAGGGCCACACATTCCCTCCCCCCCCTCCCCCCGTTATCTCCAAGGTCGTTGCTCTGTTGACCAAGCAGAAAATCATATATCTTTTATGATACCAGGCCTGCGAACCCCAAGGCTTCATACTTCCTTCCAGCTCAGAGGCTTCCAAAGTGGTGGACAAAATATTACTACAAGAGAAAAATACAACAAGAGCACAAGAAATATAAGCAACCAATCAATCAAAATCAGTATAAAATAGCAAAATAACCAAGTGCCCACCTACCACACTGGGTATACTATACATTTATGAGTTGAATTGATACTCTTAAAAAAGCTCAGCTGTTTAGAACATGGTGCTGATAATGCCAGGGTTGCGGCTTTGGTCCCTGTATGAGACAGCTGCATATTCTTGCACTGCAGGGAATTGGACTAGTTTATCCTCAGGGTCCCTTTCAACTCTACAGTTCTGTGATTCTGCAGCATTCCGCCTCTCACGTAGTAGCCAGCTTAGTTCACATCTCCTCTTCCCTGGGTAGCTCCAGTCTCCCATCTAGGAGCAAGTCAATCCACAAACAATCACCCCAGAGGCAGTGCCCTCACCTTCCATCATACCCTGAAGGAGCAATTCAAAGCATGTGGAAACTTTCCCCTAGAAAGAGTTACAGCTGTGGAAAAGTCCTTAACCTTGGGCAGAAGATTTGGCCAGCTAGACCCACCCATGAAGAACCCATCTAGAACTCACCATACCACATTCCCTTTTGTATCTAACAATAGCCTTTGGGCCAAAGTACCCACAGGCCTTAAATCTCAGCCTCTGAAGTTCCCAATTCAAGCCCCAGAATCTGTGATAGCATGTTGCTGGGAACAAACACAAAACACACACTACTTCTTCTTTGGCGATCACTCGTAGCCAAGTACGACTGCCTTCCATGAACACTGTCTTAACAGTGAGTCCATAAGTGATACACACACAGGCCACGAGGCTGTCAGTCGAATGTGAATATTTCTATTTGATTAACAGCTTCCCTTTTAAGCGAGCACCTAACAATTGAAATGGTAGAGCATTCTCTTTGAGTAAATTTTAATGACAGTTTCTCTAAGCATAAATTGCACAGACCAGCTACTCTAAAGCCCATTTTAAAAGCACTACCCGAATGAAGAAATGCATTGTGTGGGAGCTCAGATTAAAAATAACGATGATGAAAATCTGCATTTACCAAATGAATAGATCAATTGCACCAGTTAATCAAGAAATGTTTTCAAGCCCTTAGGAAACATTAGGAAGCAGCAATAGGAACATCATAGCTGCACAGCAGGACCTCCCTTTGCTCTTTTTGTTGGCAAGCTTGCCTTTCTGCCAGTGCAGGATAGTTCTTTAAGTCATCCTGTAACAGTGGCAATCGTCTGCATTATAATGTTAAAAACTCAGCTCAGTGGACTGGCTGGTAGACATGGCAGTAAATTGATGATTGGGTGTGTTCTCAGAGTTGCAGCATAGAGGCCTGCTTATGCAGTCATTGAAGGATAGTGCTTTTCTTCAGACTGTTTCACTTCAGGAGCCAGTGTGGTGTAGTGGTTAAGAGCAGTAGTCTCGTAATCTGGTGAACTGGGTTCACGTTTCCGCTCCACCACATGCAGCTGCTGGGTGACCTTGGGCTAGTCACACTTCTTTGAAGTCTCTTAGCCTCACTCACCTCACAGAGTGTTTGTTGTGGGGGAGGAAGGGAAAGGAGAATGTTAGCCGCTTTGAGACTCCTTAGGGTAATGATAAAGCGGGATATCAAATCCAAACTCTTCTTCTCTTCTTCTTCTCCTTCTTCAGGCTACATATTTCAATGCTTCTCCATAAAATAAATTCCATGTGCACAAAGATGCCCACATGTCTCAGAAGAAGACTGTTCTCCCTGACATTGTGTTTTTCTGTGCGCAGGGAGTTTTTGTGGTGGAGCGAGCATTATTTGTGTACTAAAGTGAGATAGTCTAGGAAAAGCTTTACCATGTGATTCTGGTGTCTGATCAATTGTCTCTAGGTTTAGAGTTGGAAATAGGAAATGCCTCCCCTTCCCGGGTGTTTCTCACTCTTACGTCACACAGACATGGCACAGTGTATTAATAGTTCAGATGAAATATCTAAAAGGTTTCACGTTTCTTTGTTTTGTTTTGTTACCTGTCTGCCTTTCAACCGAACAACGGCAGCGGTTCTATGTAGCTACCTCTCGCCAACTGAAGCGGCTGGAATCCGTCAGCAGGTCTCCCATATATTCTCATTTTTCGGAAACCGTCACAGGAGCAAGCGTCATCCGAGCTTATAGAAGAGGAAAGGCTTTTGTTCGCCTCAGTGACATGAAGGTGAATGACAACCAGAGAAGTCACTATCCTGGAATTGTGTCCAACAGGTAAAATCAAACTCTGAATTTAAAAAAAAAGTTAATCCCACTTGTTTTTATCTGTTGCATTTTGAGTTCTGTACTATTTACTTCTTTGTGTTTTCTCGTTTAATAGGTGGCTGGGAATTAGAGTTGAATTTGTAGGGAACTGCGTCGTATTTTTTGCAGCCCTTTTTGCTGTGTTAAGTAAAAACAGCCTGAGCCCTGGCCTGGTTGGACTTTCCGTGTCCTATGCATTGCAGGTGTGTAGAATGTGTCTCAGGAGAGAGCTCATCTGAACAGCGGAACTGAAATATCATTATAGTGTGACCTTTTCATTAGGCATTTGGGCTTTAATTGCACAATTCTGCGGCATTTCTACCCTTCAGGCGAATAAGGGCTCAGGGTGTGGGTGTGTGGAAGACTGGTTGAAAGAAAATTGGGAGAAATGGGAAGAATATAAAGAACAAACCGAGGAATAAAAGGAAATGCTTTTGGAAGATTGCATCTAAGATTGTCAGCTTACATGTCTGGGGGATTTTCCCCTCCATATTAAAAAGCCCAATCACAGAGTTAATCAGATTCTGTGCAGAGTGAAAACAATGCATTAGCTGTGCATTTGAATGCAAGCAGTATTTATTCTGGTTGAGGAAAAGAATATCACTCTCCCTCCTGGCAGGGTGCCAGCTGGTTGGGAATGGCTCCCGCAGTTGGTTCTGCTCATGTGCACATATATGCCCCTATATTTATTTTAGCAGTTTCTACGCTGCCTGCCAACGCAAAATGTCAAGGGCTGTTTATAATAACTAATAAAAACACAATAAAACTACAGTAAACTACAGATTGCTAAAAAAACAACCACACACCATTCGCAGCAAGGCAATCAAAATATCTTCAGAGGTTAGGAAAACCAGAAGTTTTTGCCTGGTGCCTAAAAGATAGTGGTACAGGTACCATTGGGTGAGCCTCTGGGGAGGGTGGAGAGAGCTCCACAAGCAAGGTGCCACAGCCAAAAAGGTCCTGCCCCATGTAGCTCCAGAGAGGAGGGGGCCAGATGAAATTGCAGCTCTCGCAGCGTGAAGGGAGCCTTCAGGAAGCTTACGATGGCAGTGTTGTGCTTCTTGTTCTTGGTAACTGAGGAGAAACTACACCAAGGTTTTAACACTATATTCTGCTAAATTTCCCACAGCAGGGCATTTAGTTAAGGATAGCATATTATGGTAGCCATCAGTTTAGGCAATCTGCAAGGGATTTAAGCACCCTTTCAATAAGGTGTGAGGTCATCAGCTTTACTAAGGGTGGGTTAGATTCGATATGGCTATGAAATCCTGAAGCAAAACAGTGGGCTTCACTTTAAAAAGTGCACTGCCGTACCTCAATCAGAAGTAACAATCTTTGATGGAGAAATTGCTTTGTGAAATTCTTGGTCCTATACTATTACATCTGGTCAGATCAGGAGATTTGAGCTTTGCCTCTCAGCTTTAAAAGCTATGAATGCTGATTTTGTAGAAAGGAGAGGCATATTGATTGAATCTCTATCCCAAGTAACAGTGGGATCACACATTAAAATTGGCCAAAGCAATGAATTCTACCACGGTGCATTTATATTCAGTGGAATAGAAGAAATAGCGATACCTTTGATAGTTTATAATAAGCCCTCAAAGGTTTCAGGGAAATTGAAGGTACTGTGTGCACGCTCATTTCCTTGTAGGGATTTGCAATAAAATTAGATGCTGGAATATTAGGCTTACCCAAATGGTGATGTTGTAAGAATGGGAAGCTACAGTATTTCCTTTTTCTTATTGGTGGGGAAGCAGCTGAAGAAAGGTGATGTCTTCTGAGACATTAAAGAGAGCAATACAGGCGATGGGCCATTTTGCGTGGGTGGTGGGTGGGGTGGGGGTTTCATTCCCAGCCCCCATGCGTATCATCTGAGCGCACATAAGCGCACCCTGCCCCATTCCCCCCCCCATTGTGCCCCTGTTCTGCCTTCTTCCGGGTCCAAAAGGGGAGCAATACAAATGGGGATGATATCAGAACTTCCTAATTTCTCAAAGCTTCACCTGTTTTGGTTTGTGTTCAGCTCAGCGTAATGTCAGCTGAATTTCAACCCTGGATTTCAAGGATGGTCTGTAGCAGGAGAGGCCAGTCTGGTGCCTTCCAGTTGCTGTTGGACTGCAACTCCCATCATCCCTGACTCTTGGCCACACCAGCTGGGGCTGAGAGGGAGTCCAGTTGAACACCAATGGGCACCACCTTTGCTCTGTGGGTGTAAACACACACACACACACACACACACACACACACACACACTATATGATGGTTAATATATTTATTTATTTGTGACAGTACTTTTCTCAAACAGGTAACATGTTGTTGTTTCTTAGGTGACAATGTCTCTGAACTGGATGGTAAGGATGACATCAGACTTAGAAAGCAACATTGTGGCCGTAGAAAGAGTTAAGGAATATTCTGAAACTGAAACTGAGGTCAGTTCCTAATAGTCTGAATGAGAAGTGTTCCTTCTGGAAACAGTGTGTGTGCTGTAATTCTTTCTCTACTGCGTGCTGTAATTCTTTCTCTCCTCTAGGCTCCCTGGATAATCGAAGACAAAAGACCACCAGAAGACTGGCCCACTCGGGGCGAAGTGGAGTTTGCAAACTATTCTGTAAGGTACAGGAAAGGCTTGGACTTGGTGCTGAAAGACCTCAGCCTCAATGTGAAAGGTGGAGAAAAGGTAAAATCACAGTTGCCATGGATAGAATCAAATTATATGTGCAGTAACCTGAATTTGCAGACTTTGTTTTCAGTTCATTCGGTGCATCTATTGGAACATACTGTAGCAAACTGCCTGGTACCGGGTCAGTTGATCAAGCTCAATACAGTGGTACCTCGGGTTGCATACGCTTCAGGTTACATACGCTTCAGGTTACAGACTCCGCTAACCCAGAAATAGTGCTAAAGTGGTGCTTCAGGTTAAGAACAGCTTCAGGTTAAGAACAGACCTCCAGAACGAATTAAGTACTTAACCCGAGGTACCACTGTATTGCTAACACAGATTGGTAGGGGGGCTCTAGCATTTTGGTCAGGAGCCTTTCCCAGCCTTACCTGGAAATGCCAGAGACTGAATTTGGGACCTTCTGCATGCAAAGCAGTGTGTGTTCTGCCATTTAGCTTTCACCCCATCTCCACTGTAAGAAGGCACTGAGTGTTGCTTGGAGAAGCAGCAACTTCTGAATTGCATCTTTCCTCAACTGACAGCTTCCTGTCCCCAGAATCCCATCTGCTCTGTGATTTCCGCTTCTGTTTCCACCTCCAGTAACAACTTTCATTGTCAATGTTCACACATGCCACCAGCATCCTTTCATCTATAACAAATTAACTGGCCCTACGCCAACCAATGGGGAAATGAAACAGAGCCACCTAGATACAAGGTGGAGCCTCTGTATACTTTCAGGGTTCCCTAGGTATGCAGAAGAACATCACTTTGCAAGAAAGAAAGAAAAACAAAGATTGCAAATGAACAAAGCCCCTCCTATAGGAACAGAAAATGTGGCACTTTAAATTAGAAACCATAGATAAGGTGAACTCTAGTGCATGGAAGCTTATGCCAAAATAAATGCATTGGTCTTTAAGGGGACAAAAGACTATTGTTTTCACATTCAGCAAACAGTAATTGTTTGAAATAGAAAAGAAATTGTAGAAGCTTAAGCAATGAAAAATGTGTGTGCAGAAATAGAAAATGTATAAGGCTACATTAAAGAAAAAGACCGGCTAGGTCAGTAACAGAAAGAAAGAAGAACATCAAAACTTTAAAAGTATTGGTTGCAAGGGAAACTATAGGTATAGAAAGGAGAATTTCCTGGATGCCAAGATCCAGGTTTGGGGCAAGTGCTTTTTGGTGAGAGAACCCCAGCAGAGATGTAAATCACAAGACATGCGGCAAAGTAAAGCATGGAATATAGGCTGTTAGACCTTGTGAGTTCAAAACTTCCAAACCTGTTCCCATAGCATAGAAAAAGACTTACATTTGGTAAGTTAAGAATGGTTTACTTACAAAAGCTCCAAATGTCAGATTCATGAGCATTCCCATACAGCATTCAGAAAAAGTTGCACAGGCAGTAAAAGTTGTCAAAGTTCCTAAGTTATTGGTATGGGAACTCAAGCGTGTCTTGTAAGAGCCATGAGGTCTGAGCTGGTTGCTGCACATTGAGCTTCTCAGGTAGACTGAAGGGGGGGATCTTGATTACCTAGGGCCTCCCAAGGTGGCAGGACAGGTCTAAACCCCTTCCAGCATTATTTGGGCTTAAGCATGTTGGTTAAATGAAGCTGATTATCCTACAAAAAGAATATTAATGTATCCTACCTCCCAAAAAAGGTGGTGACCAAAAGCAGCGGGAAGTGGGAATTCAGGCACTGATACTAGGCCAATACAAAATTAGCTTATTTGAAAATATATTGCCAAACAAAAAATGCCTATAACTGAAGAAGGTTTGCACAGTGTAGTAAAGAGAAACAAGAAAGTGTGCGGCTAGAGGACAGAGAGTGAAGAAAGAGCTGTGAGTAGAGGGGGACCCTTTTCCCTTTTGTGGCATATGCACTATTCTGGCTACCTTGCCCAGAGTGCTTCACTCTTAAGAAAAGGCTCTTTCTCAGGGAGCAGGAAGAGAGCCCTGCAGAGTCCTTTAATAAGCAGAGGCCTAACTATCCTCTTGACTGATAAGAATACTTCTTCACAGAAATCCCTAGAACAGATTCAGTTGTATAACAGTGCATTTTCTTTTGATTCTCTTCTATTCAATTCAATTTTAAAAAAAATTCACCTAGATCAGGATAGTGGTAATTTTTGTTTTGTTTTTTAAGTGAAACGGTGTATCATAAGATAACTAAACACGTTCTGGTATTTAACTGAAACTAATTTTTCAAACACGTGAATTAGGTTGGGATTGTTGGAAGAACTGGGGCTGGCAAATCGTCTATGACCCTCTGCCTCTTCAGGATCCTAGAAGCTGTGGAGGGGGAAATCAAAATCGATGGGTTAAGAATCTCAGAGCTTGGCCTTCATGACTTACGATCCAAGCTGACTATAATTCCTCAGGTAAGCTGACCTATGCCCTGAGTGATACACTAAATATAACTTAATATGGCAAACAAGCTGGGCTTGTTATGTTTTTGTAAAGTGAGACGGTTGCAAGGTAGGTCAGGCTGTGTATCTAGGGCTAGCAGTTACACGATTTGCTTTATAATAGTTGCTTTTGTGCCCCGGGACAGGAATAAACAGGGAACCCAAGAGGAAGGATTTGAATGAGCTGTAAAAATGGAACATTATAGCTATTCCTGCTAAGGTCTATTTTCAACTCAAGCAAGCTTTCTCTTGCTCTCTAAGTTTCATAGGCATACACATCCCTTAGAAAATGAAGAGATTTCATATTTTCACAGCTGTAGCCTAGTACTTTTAGTTTTATTTTCTTAGTCTGATATTTCATGTTCTGAAAGTTTATGGTGGGCAGCACAGCTATTTCTGTATACTCCATCCCTGGTAAACAGGTGGTTTTTTGTATCACTGGCCCAGGCTTAGCACCAGTGGTGCTATATTGTCATCTTCATGTATTGTGAGGGATTGGGTGTATCCTTGCTTCTGGAAAATAGACAGTAGCCAGTCTTTCAGCCAGCAGAACGCTGCTGCTTCATAATACAATCTTAAGTCTGGCAGGGCAAACCCCCCTCTTTCTTTAGCATCAGTAAGAATTTTAAACTTAATCCTGGGCTTTTTGCCCTGCCAGACAAATTTAGAAATATCTCTCTGCCACCTCCTGAAACACTCCATTTTATCCATAATTTGTAAAGTCTGGAACAAAACGGTTGGGGAGATCTTAAAAGAAAGTTGTAACTCCGTGACAGAATTTTATCCCATCACAATGGCGCTGGTCATGACACTCATCAGAATAACACCATGGAGGCCATAAAGCAGCTTCTTACGGCACACTAGTGCAGGGGTGGGGGATTGGATCCCCACCCATCCCGTGGGCCATCAATCACCTAATGTGACAGTGACATCAGGGGACCCATTTGTCCTTTGCACATGCACTTCGATTTCAAACTAAGGAGGCAAAGACACAGTGCCATGCAAGCACTGACTTCAGCTGTTGGTCACTGCTTGCAAAGCCATGTGCCTTGGTAAACATGGTCAATCAGTTAATCAGCAGTGCCTGCAAGCCACTTTTGGGCAGGAAGCAAGTCTTTACCTGCCCCACACCCAACATCATATATGGCATCAGGTGTAGAGCAGGGGCATGGCTTGGCTGAAATAGCTTTGTAGGCCAAATGAGGAGGTCTTGCAGGCCTAATTAGGCCCATAGGCCAGAGGCTTCCAACCACTGCACTAGTGCAAGCGACCACAAGTAATTCACTTCTTAAGATGGAAGCATATGTTATAAGGAGCATGACTGTCACTGAAAATTGTAGCTTCATGTTGAATTCCATCCTCCCCTTCTTAATATGTAATACAACTTATTTTGTGTCCTGGTGTCATTTTACTATGGCCACATTTGCACATCATGCTAAACCATGGTTTACAATGAAAGAGCCAAATGTGCTGCAGTGAGCCCCTGGCTTTCACACTTCTCTCTGCCCACTGTGCAACTGGGAAGAGGAGTCTAGAAGCTTCCACTTCTGCTTAACTCTGGTTTATTGTTTTGTCCAAATGGACAAACCAGTTAACCTTAACAATGGTTTGTTTGTTTTTTAAATTGATTTGACATGCTTTAAACAAACTACAGTTGTACCTTGGATCTCGAACGCCTTGCAACTCAAACTCCTGAACGCCACAAATCCAGAAGGCCATGGGGTTTAAGTCTTGCTTATATGACCACCTTGTGTCCATTCAACTGTAAAGCACTCACTGGGAGTCAAACCTGGTGCTGGGTATATCATCACTTCCTAGTGTAATGCAGACCACAGAAATGATTTCTTGTTTTAACCACATTAGTGAGTTAGTATCTATTCAAGCGGGTGCAGGTGGCGCTGTGGGTAAAACCTCAGCGCCTAGGACTTGCCGATCGCATGGTTGGCGGTTTGAATCCCCGCGGCGGGGTGAGCTCCCGTCGTTCGGTCCCAGCTCCTGCCTACCTAGCAGTTCGAAAGCACACTTAAGTGCAAGTAGAAGCTGCGCGCAGCTTTGGCATCGCTCTGGGAGCTTGCGGGGCTGGGGGAGGAGGAAGCCTTCCGCCAGCCTTCAAACCATGTCGGGAGACAGCGGGATGGCGCGCTGCGCCTCTCCCGCTGTCCCCCGAGTTTGCGGGGCTGGGCCAGCCTTCTAACCAAGTCGGGGGACAGCGGGAAGGGCGCGCTGCGCCCCTGCCGCTGTCTCCCGAGTTTGCGGGGCTGGCGACGGGGAGGAGCAGGCTTCTCCCCCCGCCAGCCTTCTAGACAAGTCGGGGGACAGCGGCAAAGGCGCGCTGCGCCTCTCCCGCTGTCCCCCGAGTTTGCGGGGCTGGCGACGGGGAGGAGCAGGCTTCTCCCCCTGCCAGCCTTTAGGACAAGTCGGGGGTCAGCGGGAGAGGCGCAGCGCCTCTCCCGCTGTCCCCCGAGTTTGCGGGGCTGGCAACGGGGAGGAGCAGGCTTCTCCCCCCGCCAGCCTTCTAGCCAAGTCGGGGGTCAGCGGCAAAGGCGCGCTGCGCCTCTCCCGCTGTCCCCCGAGTTTGCGGGGCTGGCGACGGGGAGGAGCAGGCTTCTCCCCCCGCCAGCCTTCTAGCCAAGTCGGGGGACAGCGGGAAGGGCGCGCTGCGCCTCTCCCGCTGTCCCCCGAGCTTGTGGGGCTGGCGGTGGGGCTCTCCTGAAGCCTGGAGGTTGTGGGGCTGGTGGGGGGGAGAAGCAGGCTTGCTTCTCCCACCCCCAGCCTCCAGATCAGGTCGGGGAATAGCGGGATGGCGGAGCGCCGCCATCCCGCTATTCCCCGACCTGATCTGGAGGTTGTGGGGATGGTGGGGGGGAGAAGCAGGCTTGCTTCTCCCACCCCCAGCCTCCAGATCAGGTCGGGGAATAGCGGGATGGCGGCGCTTCGCCATCCCCCTATCCCCCGAGCTTGTGGGGCTGGGGGGGGAGAAGCAGGCTTGCTTCTCCCCCCGCCAGCCTCCAGATCAGGTCGGGGAATAGCGGGGTGGCGGCTCTGCGCCTCCAGCTGTCCCAGCTTTGGGTGCAGCTCTGCCCGCAAGCTAGCCGCGGGACATCCGCGGCTGAAGACTTGGGATAGCTCGGGAAGCCTGGAGAAAGGGGTCGGTCGCACGGACCCTCTCGCTCTCTGGCTCAGCAAAAGCCTGCTTCGCACCAAGGACGCAACACATTTCCCTCATTAAAAAGTGCCCATATGCGAAAAATGGTAAATAGCCGCTTTATAGCGGGAAGTAAACGGCGTTCCGTGTGTGGGCTGCTCTGTGGACCGGTTCGCCGGAGCAGCTTCGTCACGCTGGCCACGTGACCCGGAAGTGTCTGCGGACAGCACTGGCTCCCGGCCTCTAGAGTGAGATGAGCGCACAACCCTAGAGTCTGTCAAGACTGACCATATGGGCAGGGGTACCTTTACCTTTACCTATTCAAGCAATACTTCATTTATTTCTGTGTTCCTCAATAGCTCAATGTTGTTGTTTTTATCTGTATGCTGATGGAATTGTATTAATTTTGTTAAGGACCCTGTTCTCTTTTCTGGAACACTCCGACTGAATTTGGATCCATTTGATAGATATTCCGAGGAGGAAATATGGAAAGCTCTTGAACTGTCCAATTTGAAGAGGTTTGTCAGCAGCCAGCCAGCTATGCTGGATTACGAATGCTCTGAAGGAGGAGAAAACCTTAGGTAACTGAAATCGGTTCAAGAAATTGATACACTAGAAACCTACAGCAAAATGGTTTGCTATCTTTCTACCTCTTTCTAGTGGCCTTTCATTTCATTATGAAGACCTTCCTTTAGGGAGGTTTTTTGTTAAATCTTTAAAGCTTGTTAGAAGTTGTTTTAAGTGTTTGGCTGGTTGCTCTTTCTTTATGTTATTTTAATCTCTGCTGCTTTTATGCTTTTGCAGTTTTTGTTAGTATTTGATTGTTTTAATTTATTGTTGCTAACCTCTTTGAGGAATAAAGAAATGAAATAAAAGTTTAATCTTCTTTTTCCAGTGTTGGCCAAAGGCAGCTTGTTTGCTTAGCAAGAGCTCTTCTCCGCAAAACCAAAATCCTGGTTCTGGATGAAGCTACCGCAGCAATCGACCTTGAGACAGATGATCTCATTCAGATGACAATAAGAACACAGTTTGAAGACTGTACTGTGCTGACAATAGCACATAGGCTGAATACAATTATGGATTACACCAGGTAACTATGAAGGACAAGAGCATAGCTCGGACCTTATGGCACCCTAAAAATAATCTGTATGACTATTCCTGACTTGCATTTTCCCATTTTAAACCAAGGAAACAGGTGAACCTAATATAGAGCCTGCAATTAATCCCACTATCAGATCAATAAAAAAAGGCTTAAAAGCCTTTCAGCCTTTTTTGGGAACATATCTTTAAAGACCAGTTGGCTCTTTTATACTGGATCAGTTAATTCATATCCACTGCCAGCCTTACAGATGATTTGTGGCATCTTGTAGGAACATGAAACCCAGTATGTATTGGTACCCACTTCTTTTCCTAGGTTGTCCCAAGCCCTAGGTCATTGATGTAGCCTGCTGTTGTTAGACATTGGTCATGCTACCTGGCACTGGCAATTGGGAGCCCAACAGCATCTGGAGGGCCAGAGGTTCCCTGCCCTGCCAGGTGGTCACTGGCTAGTGCTTCACTTCCTGGTCTATTCCAAGACCCTCCCTAAGGAGGGACTTGGTTTCTTGTGATGCTCCAGGCAACGTCCATAGAAATGTCATGAGGAACGGTGTTCACATCCTTAGAATAGCTCTGGTGGCTGGAAAGAGTTCTAACACAGTTTCACATGGCAGGCTGGAGTGCTTACTCATCAGTAATGTTGCTACTGCACTTTGTAGAGATGTGCAGCTTGCACCTGCAAAGAGCAGTATGAACATTCTGGGAGGAAGAGCAGGAAGAGGTCGCTTGTTTTTTCCCTCCCCCCCCCCCGAAAGAACCTTGAATGAGGCAAAGGTGGGATTGCTCATTTAGCCACTTACCCTATGGTAACAGATCAAATTAACTCATTATCAAATGGGTTTCAATGGTAACAAAGAGGGACGAAATAGGTACAAGAAGGAAGGGTGGCATAGGAAGAGCCAACAGACTCAGAAAAGTGGGGGTGCCCATATAGGAAACCCACTCTAAACGATAGCAAGTGTGTTTTTCTCTGCAGCCAAGCCATTAATCAGCTAATTTCTCTAGGCACAGAAAAGTCTTCTGAGGACACTACGGAGGAAACTAAAATTCTGTGGCTGCGGCACTGCAATTCATATGAAAGTTAACCTCTCACACATCTAATGGGCAGAGTGCTTTGCATCTTTTCTGCTCACCCTCGTAACAGTGCCATGACACAATTAGGGGTATTTCAGTTTCCCAGGTGAGGAGCTAAAGCCAGGTGTGACTTGGCAAGTCTTATGGCAGTGACGGGACATGAACTTAGGTTTCTCACATTCAAATTCAGTACTTGTCCCCTGTCCGCTGGCACATTTTTGCTCTTTCTCTAGGATTGTTTTTTTTTTAAGTGTGGAATAAAATATTGAGGACCTAAAAAAGCTGCTGGATTCTGCAGTTAATAGACCTTGTGACAACAGACATTCCTGCCCCCTCCCCCTGCTGGTTAGGATTGGCAATTCTTGTTTAGAAACACATTTTACTTTCCCTCTTGTTTTGCAGAGTCCTTGTTCTAGAAAAAGGAGCAATTGCCGAATTTGACACACCTTCGCGTCTTATAGCATCCAAAGGAATTTTCTATGGCATGGCAAAGGATGCTGGATTGGCATAACAGGACAGCTGCTATATCTCACCAAAGGACTAGTTACTGGGGTTCTTTTTTAAAAAACCCACAAGCAATACCTGAATGTACTGTACTTTTCAAAACAGCATTTTTATTTTTATTTTTGCGATACGGAATCAAAATGTTTCATATGCCTATGAGAACCAGAAAATTTAATTTTTATATTTTTAAAAATATTTTCTACATACAGAAGTATTTTTTTTACCTGACATCTTACCGAAAATGGATGTGAGTGTGTGTATGCATAGCACTTAACTGTATTCTTTTTATCTTATATAGTCAATTACAGCTAGCGATACAAAAGCACTGGCATTATCCGTCCATTCATTTTCTGTTAAGTAAAATGAATCCATGAAATGCGGAGTTGTGGTGCTGTTTCCAGGATTAAGTTGATTTTTAAAAAAACAAAACCTGAAGCCCACTTTTCAACAATGTACCCCCAGCAGCAGTGTTTTAAAAATCAGGCAAAATGTGTGGGACTCCCCACCCCAGAATAAATACGGTGTACATGAGGAAATATATATTTTTAAAGTCCACATCTCCCATTCAGCCTGGGGCACTGCACACACAGAATGGGACTTGCGCAGCTTTAGCTGGGTGGTTCCTCTCTTCAAACAGTTGAGGCCCAGTGCGTGGAGCCCTTATTTAAAAGCTAAAATCTTGATACCACTTCTGAAGCAGGACTGGTTACTGGTTGGCTGGGCCAAAAGTTGTACTTCCAGACACAGGACTACCAGAAATTACTGGACTTATTCCGAGGGCTGCTCCTCATAAAGTACAGTAGTGCATGTAGTAGTAAGATCAAAAAGTTACCAGGGCATGTAGAACAAGAGCAAAGTTCCTTTTAAAAAATCTCTAAGGAATGGGTAGGCAACCTAAGCCCCGGGGGCTGGATCCGGCCCAATCACCTTCTAAATCCGGCCCATGGACGGTACGGGAATCAGCATGTTTTTAAATGAGTAGAATGTGTGCTTTTATTGAAAATGCATCTCTGGGTTATTTGTGGGGCATAGGAATTCTTTCATTATTATTTTTTTTCAGAATATAGTCTGGCTCCCCACAAGGTCTGAGGGACAGTAGACCTGCTGAAAAAGTTTGCTGACACCTGCTAAGGCAAAATATTCATTCAGAATTTTAACTTTCAGCCAGGACAACGAATTTCTCATTACATAGAAAGCTTACAACGAGCACCCTTTTGAGAGAGAGAAATATTTAAAAACAAACCAAAATCTCCCATTTTAAAAGCAACAAACTTTTATTAATTGTAAAAAGGGCACAACATATAGGAAATAAGAAACTCAAACATAAATCATTTGGTTAATTCTTCATTATAACCATGTTTTTTTCCAGTGTAGTAATGAAGTTCTGAATCCTTTATTTCCACTGATATCATAAAGTACCACACAGTTGTTATTAGGTTAATAATTTGGTTAGTAACACTAATAAAATCCTCTGTTATAAATTGCATAAGTTATACAATATAAAAATAATCCTCTGAGTGCATAGAAAGATGCTAGCAACTGTGCAGTATTATCAACAGACTTGTAATATGTTAATTAATACTATGGCTAATCAATAGAGCATGTCAATTTGTTTGCCCACGTACTAGATACCTGTGGATGCCTGTGGATATCTGCTTCTCAATGAAAAGCCCAAAGGCATTTCAGCCACGATCCAGCAGTCTGGGGCACACCCACTGACTTCATACTGGATTGTGGCCTTCCTCTTCTAAGAACCTTATTCCCAAGTCTTCTAGCACAAAAGCACATTTCCCTTCAAGCACTTCCAGAGAAGCTGACTGTGTGTGTTGATTTTAGGCACACACTTAAAATCAAAAGGGGATGGGGAGAATTGCCACCTTAAATATGTTGTGCAAATCCTGACCTGGCACCTGGCAGAAAATTTGGATACACTGGAACACGGTCAGTGGCGATATTTTCATTTATATCGATGCATTTATTTTATGGCAAGACTGAATAAACCCTAACAAGGAGTCACAGCAATATAATATGCTGCCAATGGCTTTGTCTCCAGCACTTGGGTCAGGGGACGCCAACCTTTTGGACCAGTGGGCACATTTGGAATTTTTAGAAAGCGACACGGGTACTAGTCGCAACATGATCCCCGCGGGAATGTGGCATAACACCAAGTGGCTGTTGCATCAAAAAGGGCATAACAACTTTGGACCACAAAATGTTGCAGGGATGCCCCCTGCTCCATCTCCCCCATCAGTGGCTCCTATATCAGCCACCTCACTCACAGAATGAGCCACTCCTCTGTTCAGAATTGAAGAGAGGCGGGGTGTCCAATCTTGGAACTGGGTGAAATGTGGGCATGCTTAAGGGGGCGATGTTTAAATATAGGACAGGCTGATAGGGAACTGAGCAGGAAGAGCAAACAGTCTTTCATGCATTGTGGATTTTTGAGGGAATATTTACTGAGAACTTTTGGGGACCCATAGGAGGTGTTGGCGGGTACAGTGGGGCCCACTAGTGCCCCATTGGCAGCCTCTGACTTCGGCTGTACCACAAAAACAATGTGTTGCCACAGTGCTCCATTGAAAGTAAGCATTTTCTAAACCCTGTGCTAATGTTTTAAGGCCTACAAGAATTCAAAATTCACATTCCAGGTGTCATTGGCCATGTCAGTGCATTAAGCCTTGGATCGGGCAGAGGGATATCTTAGCTCTCTACAATTAGGCAATGAAATGACTCATGACAACCAAAAGCTTGCTTGCACTGTAAAGTTTCAGTGAGTCTTACGCTGGAATTGTTACCTTGAGACGGCACTGTGCGAGCATGTTAGACCCATGCTAACTATCCTGGATTGTCACAAAAGACTTTGTTTCCTCTGTGGGGCTGTGACCCGCGGTCACCAGGGATAATGAGCCTAAAGAGCGGAGTCTGGGTTTCTTGGCTCCTGCAAGGAGCCGATGACTCAATTTGGCCACTGTTTAAAGGGATAAAGAAATTCAGAGGGCTGTCCTCAGCATAAGGTAGCTTAAATTTGTGAGCTATTAAACAGTTAAATGTTTTAGTCAAATAACTGCTTTACCTGTCGGTTATAAATGCACTGAAATATTATGGTATCTACCCAGGCATTTAGTGACAGTAATAGTTTTGCTTGGAATAATTCAGGCAAACCATATATTGTTTAGGCCTGGGTCTCTTGGAAAACTCATACCACCACCTTCCCCCAGGCCCCACCTTTCTCTGGACCCTTGCTTGCTATAATGTCTCCTTGAACTGTGCTTCTGCATTCATTGCACCACTCACTTTTGCCCCTGGCTCCTCCCACCATTGGTATGTGGCTCCCACGGAAGGGATTATGGCCCTCAGGCTGAAAAAAGCTGCTTTCCATTTGTGCAGCCCCTAGGTACAACCCATTAATCACAGTGAAGCTTTTAAGCCCTAGCTTAACTAGGACATGTGACCAGTGTGGGCCACTGAAGCTGAATGACACTAAATTCCTTTGTCAAAAGATCTGAGTTAAGGAGATGAAAAATATAGCGTTTGAATAGTAAGCTACGGATGAGTTATCTTGGGAACTACAGGACTGAGGAAGGGGCTTAATATGCTGCTAGATGCTCCGCTCACAGAGTTTGCCCCTGGCAAATAATGCAAAGCAATAATGACCCCCTTAGTGGCATCAATCTTTGCATCCCGTTGCGATAAATGGGTCTCTTGGAAAAGCAAAATAAGATCCAGGTTTCTGGAATTTGCAAGGGCACAGAACAGCAATTCTTTCCAGCCTAGCCCAGTTTAAAGCATCTAAAAAGAGCATGAAGGTCCATCACACCACCGGTCATCTGAAGGTAGCACATCTACTCAAAGTTACACGAAGTAGGTGTGGCTTAGCCCTCCTCAACCCTAGTCTATTTCCTACCTAACATCTGAAGCTGTCGTCTTTCCTAGCTCACCTCCATGACTTTCCATGTGTCTTTACTAACCTTCATCTTCCGTTGTTTCCTGTGATTCCCCCTCAAAAAACCCCGTTTTCTGTCCTTTGATTCTTCTGTCTCGTTCTCCTCCTGCTTCCCTCTCTTTTCCAGTAGATTTTTCTTTTCTTTTCCCTTTTTTCCCTCCAGTCGCTGCCATCTATTCACCTGACTACTGCCAATTTCCCTTTCCAGCCGCAGCTTCCTGGCCTCAGCCACTTGTTCATTCTCCCTGGCCACAGCTGCTTGCTCTCCCAACCTTGCTGTTTATTTTTTGTGGTCCCCAGCTGCCAATGTCTGCCTTCCCCAGCCGCTGCAGTCTGTCTCTCCTCCATGCCAAAGTTCACTTCATCAGGTCACTTTAGTTTGTGCCATTTCTTCAGTCCTGTCCACCTAAGCATCCTCCTCCATTGGTTCTCATCCTTTTCTACAGTGTTTTCTGAAGGGACCTGCTCTGTCAGATCCTTTTGTAGTCCATCGCTTTTCCTCAACCCCCCAAAAGGTTTTGAATCTTTCACATGGAGAAGGGAATATTGGTTCCTTACCTGAAGGACACTTCTCTGAGATGAAGTTCCATCACAGCCTCCTCTCCCTATCTATATGCTTCTGAGTGGCTACCTAATCCATGGAAGGGTTTCTCTGTGTTTGCTTCAATTATCTTGCTTGCATTCTTCCAATATGTTCCTCCAATATTTTCTGTTAAGACCATTTATATGCACTCTCCTGTTATTTTCTTGAAGAAGCAGTTTGTAGCGGCTTGTCCTCTGTGCATTTTCTTCTCTGAGCTTGAGGAGGACTATGGCACACCTACTACTTGCAACTCTGAGTGCATTTCTGGCGTTTGTGGCGCTACAATCCACCTGATGGACCTTCCTTCCAGAGAAATGACCTTTCCCTCTAGTGCACATCTGGTGGAGGGCAGTGGGGAAAGTCCCATTGAGCAAGTGGAAGTTGCTGAATACCACCCATTCCAAGTGCATTACTGTGGGCACAAATTTCCCTTCAAAGCTGCTTGTAATTCTGTAATATCAGTCAGGGCCGTTGCTTAGAAAGCCATGGCTCAAAGCTAGGGTTACAGAGCACATGAGCGTTTGCCCCAATCTGAAGCTTAGGAGCTTGACATGGGGGCACTGAAATTATCAGCTGGATATTTTTCTGTTAATTAATTCATCTAGCTGGGTAGTCCAACCAACTTGAAGCACATACTCAATTGTGCTGCAGTTAGAGTAACTGAGATCCCTTCACTAGTAGACATAATCCTAAAACTAGGTATATTATATTTTATTCAAAAATGTTATGTTCCATGCTTTTCCAGACTCTTTAAGTCTAGGACTTGACAGCAGACTATTTATACAGAAACTAGCAAGAAGATGAAAAGCTGGACATGCCTATATGAGATGCAAGCAAGTCTGTCAGAAATGCATAGAAATGCCAAGATTTCCTTACTAATTTATCTTGGTATTAAAAATAATTTTTGCTATTTAAAATGCTACAAGATTACTTTCCTTTAAATAGTTAATAGTTTCAAGATCAGAGGATAATTAGGATAAAAGGCTAAGGGGGGTTGTGCTCATTTCATGTGTGGCATCAGGCTCTGGAGTGAAGTTGCATTCTTAATAATCCTTCTGGAAGCCTCTCACTCCAATAATAATAATAATAATAATAATAATAATAATAATAATAATAATAATAATAATAATACCCCCAGCCATCAACAGATACTACCAGCCATTCTGTATTGTTTACTGGCAAGCAATAATGAGTTAGACACACACCCTAACGGTTTCGGTCAACATATTTACAGCTTGGGTTAACACGGTAAATATGTTCAAATATTTGACCTGAGCACCATCTTGAAGAAATCACAGCTGATTTAGCCACTTGGTGACGGTTTTAACTCAGCCAAATAAAGTGTCAGAAGTCTTGAGCCTTCCTCCCCAAAGGAATGGGCATCTGGACCTAACTGGTCCAGTCTCCCAGGCCACAACGTACCACTGGGAGATGGAATGGGGAGGAGAGTCATTCCCTGCTTGTCAGTTCCAAACTGTACAGACCTCTCCCCTTGTGGAAGCTTACAGGTGGTTTGTCCCATTAGTAGCAGTGAGGCTACGGGGGACCATCTCAGGCTACCGTTCTGCCTCTAACAACCCTGACATTCCTCGTGACATGCGTAAGTGGTGAGATATATCCCACTTACGTTTTGCAACATGCCATTCTCCAAAGGATGCTGTATTAGCAATGTTTGAAACACTTCGCCAGAGTGACTAACCTGTGACCCTCCAGATACTCTTGGACTCCAAATCCCATCAGTCCAAGCTAGGTAAGTCAACAGGCAGGGGTGATGGGAACTGAAGTCAAACAACAACTGCAGAGCCACATAACAGCCGCTCCTGCACTAGGCCAGTGTAACTACTGTTTGAGAGCCCAGGTTTCCCCTTCTTCCTCTTACCCCTTCTCCTGCAAAAGTAGCTTATTCTCAAGCTAACACATTTGAACACTGGTTATACTAGGAGTCTCTGCATGCTAAGTATCCAATTACAAGTGTTAAATGTGTTCCGGGTTCTCTCCTTCAACGTAAGTGCTCCTGCTCTTTTTAATAAGTAGCAATTATTAGAGCAATTTAATTTAAGTCTTTCCCTGAGAGCTTCTAACTCTGCAGTGTTCAGAGATGTAATGATTTCCTAGCAAGAAACACTGCTGCATGAAGAGAGAGGCCATAATCTGTTGCTGCTTAGTATCCTATCCAAAAACATTACTTCACTGCCAGTTTACTCAAAAATTAACTGCAGACACTCTAAGTGGACATTCTAATCCTACAGACACTTAAGTAGGAACAAGCCCAAATGTTTTCGGCAGAACTTGCTTCCAAGTAAGTGTGCTTTATAGGTTAACTCTGTCTTCCAAGGTAAAGTAGAATCTGAGGTTATAGCCCTTGCAAAATCCTAGGTTTAACTGTTAAATACTAGTGACAGGTTTTTCATTTGAATAGCTAGTAAGTCAACTTTGATGCTTTCTTATTGTAACAAGGCCTTTCAGTTAACGTTGGTGCAGCATTTCTAAACAGAAAGTCGTTATCACTCATCGTCAAAACCAGCTCCAGTTCTTGGAAATCCTGAAGCCTTGATACATCTTTGTCCTGAAAGAAATAAACACAATAAATTAAAAACGATGTCTATACTATTATGAGGCATGCTAGTCCAAATGATGCAACGATTTCGGCTCACCTTTGTGCTGCGCTACATCTTGCATATTTTAATTTTGATGTTCCAACTGACTTCAGGAAAGAGAAACTGGACAACAGGATCCACGCCATTGTCTGGGCTGAGAGACCAGTTGCCCTTTTGGTTCCTCTCCTCCCTGAACTGTTTTCATTCAAGCTGATCATTATTAAGAACTTCGTTAACTTTAAGAAATGGTGTTTTGAGTTTGTATGCTCTGCCCTTCCCATCCCCATTTCCTTTTGTGCTGTGTCTGTAAGCCTACCAACAGAGACTGTCTTCCTTTTAATTTGTACACAGCACTTAGTAGATTTTAAGGGATGAACTCAACATAGCACTAAGAAGTTGTTTCATCAGGCAAACAGAAATACTTGTGCTGACAGAGAAATCTGCCCTCTCCTCTGCTGGCATGCTGTTTCAGGTGTTCTCCCAACACCCCCTGCCTATTTGTGGGGTTATGGGGAGTGCAGATGGGGGGAAAGCCTTGTTGTGCTAGCAGAAGTACTTGTAGCGGTTCTGGTGGTAGGACTTGTTAGCCGTGTTTTATGATAGATCCAGAGCAATTTAGCTGCAGTTGTCCCATTGAAACCAGTGTGAAAAATCAATCATAGTTGATATTGAAATCAATGAGAGTTATCTTCAACAAACAGTTTGGATCCAACCCAATGTTTTATTCTTAGACCTATGACTTGATTCTCCATGTGTTCTTGCCAGCCTATGCTCTGTGAGGGTCTTTACATGGCGATTGCTAAGAGATTAAGAAATTTCTTATGCTATTATAATAATAATAATAATAATAATAATAATAATAATAATAATAATAATTTATTTATACCCCGCCCATCTGGCTGAGTTTCCCCAGCCACTCTGGGCGGCTCCCAATCAGTGTTAAAAACAGTACAGCATTACATATTAAAAACTTCCCTGAACAGGGCTGCCTTAAGATGTCTTCTGAATATCAGGTAATTATTTATCTCTTTGACATCTAATGGGAGGGCGTTCCACAGGGCGGGCGCCACTACCGAGAAGGCCCTCTGTCTGGTTCCCTGTAGCCTCACTTCTCGCAATGAGGGAACCGCCAGAAGGCCCTCGGCGCTGGATCTCAGTGTCTGGGCTGAATGATGGGGGTGGAGACGCTCCTTCAGGTATACAGGACCGAGGCCGTTTAGGGCTTTAAAGGTCAGCACCAACACTTTGAATCGTGCTCGGAAACGTACTGGGAGCCAATGCAGGTCTCTCAGAACCGGTGTTATATGGTCCCGGCGGCCAGAAATACAGCAAACCAAAGGGTTACCACTTTTAATGCTGCAAAAATGGATTTTCAGACTATCAGTGCAAACTTATGCATGCTTTCTCAGAAATAAGTATTATGGTACACATTGAAACTTACTTACAGGCAGGTGTGCATAGGATTACAGCCTTAGTTTGCCAGAGAGACATAAGCTCAAACAGAGTACAACAGGGAGTTAATGCTTGTGGGCAGCTATTGTTCAAGTGAAGCCTTTACTTTCTATCCAAATCTATTTGCCTTAAATAGGAGAAAGTGTGCCTTCTCCAACTATGTTGCTATCTGCATGTGTGAAGGAGAATGAGTGCATAATTTATGCTATATCCTTGCCACAGAGTGTGAATATTATTATTATTTTATATTATTCTATGCACACCACTCACTTTTTTTTAATTGAACCGTTCAAAAAGTTTTCAAAACAGATAAACAAAAAGTTCCCTTTAGAAACCTGGAATGAATTTTGCTTTTTTTAAAAAAGTCCAAGCTAAAATGCCTATTCTGACAATGTTGCTTGCTGGCAAAGTACTTTGAACCAGCTAAGGGTTATCAATACGAATGCAGTTCCCCTCCTGTTGGGACTCCATATACGTCGTCCTATCAGGAAATCAGCGAGAATGCCAATCAGATGTTCCAGAGGAGGCAGTGGGGGCTAGAGTTGATTGATTTGACCAGGGCTACATCTGTATAACTGGATTGGGAGCCAGAGCCTTTAAGAGGATTTGTGCTCCAATTCAGTTCAGCTTGGCTAGAGCAACTGAGAGCACAGGTATTTGAAACATCTACATCAACAAAATTAAGTCCACCATGCCAGGCTACAAAAATAAAGCAGACAGTACCACATTGTAAAATGGGGGGAAAGGCAGTGCTTCCTATTTGATCACCTAGCACTAAAGTGGATCACAGCCGGATTAAACTGACCAGCGGGCCGGAATAGGCCCCCAAAACTGAATTTGGACTTGCCTGGGTTATGGTGACTAGTGAATAGCGCGGGAATATCTTGATCTTGTATTATTTGCACAGGAAAAGTCCACTCATTCTATCATGATGAGGAGGGCAGGCAGAGATTCCAATTCTAAGAGGGCTTTTTCTTTTTAAGCATCTCTTTTCAGAAGGCGTTCTTTATTTAAAACATAAGGTTTAAAACTACAGATATGAAACGTTCACAAGGGATTGGATGCTTATGAAGACTGCTGTGGGCAACCTGTGTACTGAAGGATAGTCCCACTGACGTCAAGAAATGTTGGTGTAAGAACTGTAGTATCCGTAAATGCAGGTTGGGGGAAGATGATACCGTTATAATTACCCTGAACATAGTATGAAAGCTTGAATAATCATAAATTATAATAAATATCTGAAGGAATGGGTCTTGGTTATTAGCTGCCAATATTTTTGAGAAAATGAAAGCCAGCCTGGGTTATTACTCCAGCAGGATAATTGGCTTTAGTAAAAGGAACCAAATGGATAAAATATCTCAATTCCAGCAGGGCTTTTGATAATGTTCCATATGCTACTCTTACAAGTAAATTGGAGAAGGGTGAATTGGAACATGCTGCCATGAGGCAGGTGTACTTTTGGCTGGGAAGCTACACACAAGATGTTCCAGCATGCTGTGGATTTCAGCCAGAGTAGCTATTAGTGGATTGCTATTGTTTGAATTGGGGAGCTAAATGACATTCCACAGGGATCTGCCCTGGACCAGCACTAGTGAGCATTTTTATTAACAGCTTGGAAAAAGCAATGATGAGTGCGCTAAGATTTTACAATCTGAACTGCAAACACAACAGAGGGGAAATCAGCGCACTTAACTCAAAGCAAATGTTTATGTGGGGTGGAGCACCCGAAACAAAAAATCTAGGAAAAGAGTGAGCGAGCTGGGCATTCGGACTGCAACAGGAGATACTACAACAGATACTACAGCTGGTAGGTAAGAAGATTGGTCATGCGTGTGGCTACAGCAGCTCACTGTTAGCTAGCACGGAGGTGATGTGCCCAGCAGTTGTGCAAATAAGTTATTGTATGGAAGACAGAAAAAACCTAAACTATTCTGACCTGCAAATTCTGAAGTTAGCATCTTGTACTGGCCTCAGGGAGAATCCAGGGAGACAACTCAATTCCTTGAATTGTCAAGATTCTAACATGCATGGCACACCAAGCATCACATGGCCATCTGTCAGGGATGCTGTAGCTGCATCCAGCACATTGAGGTTGGACCAAAAACGTCCAAGTTTCCTTCCAACTCTAAACTCTAGGACGCTTTGAATCCATGTGGTTTACAGATTGTGTATGTTGCCCAGTCCTAACCTATGGGTTATACTAAACTGCAACTGCAAAAGGAATCAGAAGCTGGTATAACCAATGTCAGAGATACAGAAGCAGTGATGCTGAATAACTTTGGGCCCAGTTTCAGCTCTCAGGTATGCAGCTAAAAGCCATTGGCCCACATCTAGATGTAGCTATGTGCAAAACCTACTTAAATAAGAACTTCAGAAAGAAAAGTCACACATAGTGGCCTCAGAAGTTGTATCAGGACAGCATTTCCATTACATTACTTGGGGATGGAAAACCCTTATCTTCACCTGCCCTGCAGGGGCAAATGAGAATATATAGATTGTGTGCATTTGGATGTGTATGTTTCTCCAACCCTTTGAATATCTATACCTATATCTGAGAACAGGAACTTCCAGTATCAAACTACACAGATGGTAAATCCTCTTGCACATAACATGCAACATGCAGTGCAGGTTTGCACATGGCTTGCTGCCGTTCTGCACACACAAAACTCCCTCCTGCACGGACTGAAATTTTAAAAAGACCTGGAGTGGGAACATAGTTGTCCTACTCATTAGCAATGAAACGCAACCAAAAATTCAACATAGCACAGAGAGAGAGAGAGAGAGAGAGAGATTCCACTGAATCTTTGCGCCCAGTGCTTTTGACTTTTAGTCATTTTTCATAGAATCATAGAATCATAGAATCATAGAGTTGGAAGAGACCACAAGGGCCATCGAGTCCAACCCCCTGCCAAGCAGGAAACACCATCAGAGCACTCCTGACATATGGTTGTCAAGCCTCTGCTTAAAGACCTCCAAAGAAGGAGACTCCACCACACTCCTTGGCAGCAAATTCCACTGTCGAACAGCTCTTACTGTCAGGAAGTTCTTCCTAATGTTTAGGTGGAATCTTCTTTCTTGTAGTTTGGATCCATTGCTCCGTGTCCGCTTCTCTGGAGCAGCAGAAAACAACCTTTCTCCCTCCTCTATGTGACATCCCTTTATATATTTGAACATGGCTATCATATCACCCCTTAACCTCCTCTTCTCCAGGCTAAACATGCCCAGCTCCCTTAGCCGTTCCTCATAAGGCATCGTTTCCAGGCCTTTGATCATTTTGGTTGCCCTCCTCTGGACACGTTCCAGTTTGTCAGTGTCCTTCTTGAATTGTGGTGCCCAGAACTGGACACAGTACTCCAGGTGAGGTCTGACCAGAGCAGAATACAGTGGCACTATTACTTCCCTTGATCTAGATGCTATACTCCTATTGATGCAGCCTAGAATTGCATTGGCTTTTTTAGCTGCCGCGTCACACTGTTGGCTCATGTCAAGTTTGTGGTCAATCAAGACTCCTAGATCCTTTTCACATGTACTGCTCTCAAGCCAGGTGTCCCCCATTTTGTATTTGTGCCTCTCATTTTTTTTGCCCAAGTGCAATACTTTACATTTCTCCCTGTTAAAATTCATCTTGTTTGTTTTTGCCCAGTTCTCTAAACTGTCAAGGTCGTTTTGAAGTGTGATCCTGTCCTCTGGGGTGTTTGCCACCCCTCCCAGTTTGGTGTCATCTGCAAATTTGATCAGGATGCCCTTGAGTCCATCATCCAAGTCGTTGATAAAGATGTTGAATAAGACCGGGCCCAAGACAGAACCCTGTGGCACCCCACTAGTCACTCTTCTCCAGGATGAAGAGGAACCATTGATGAGCACCCTTTGGGTTCTGTCAGTCAGCCAGTTACAAATCCACTGAGTGGTAGCATAGTCAAGACCGCATTTTACCAGCTTCTTTACAAGAATATCATGGGGCACCTTGTCAAATGCCTTGCTGAAATCAAGGTAGGCTACATCCACTGCGTTCCCTTCATCTACCAGGCTTGTAATTCTGTCAAAAAACGAGATCAGGTTAGTCTGACATGACTTATTTTTCAGAAATCCATGCTGACTATTGGTGATCACAGCATTCCTTTCTAGGTGCTCACAGACTGTTTGCTTAATGATCTGCTCCAGAATCTTCCCTGGTATTGATGTCAGACTGACTGGGCGGTAATTATTTGGGTCCTCTCTTTTCCCCTTTTTGAAAATAGGGACAACATTTGCCCTCCTCCAATCTGCCGGGACTTCGCCTGTTCTCCAGGAATTCTCAAAGATGACTGCCAGTGGTTCTGAGATCACATCTGCCAGTTCTTTTAATACTCTTGGATGCAGTTCATCTGGCCCTGGAGACTTGAATACATCTAAACTAGCCAAGTATTCTTGTACTATCTCCTTAGTTATTCTGGGCTGTGTTTCCTTTGCTGAATCATTTGCTCCAAATTCTTCAGGTTGGGCATTGTTTTCTTTATCGGAGAAGACTGAGGCAAAGAAGGCATTGAGGAGTTCAGCCCTTTCTGTGTCCCCTGTTTGCATTTCACCATCTTCTCCTCTGAGTGACCCCACTGTTTCTTTGTTCTTCCTTTTGCTACGGACATACCCATAAAAGCCTTTTTTGTTGCTTTTAACCTCTCTAGCAAGCCTGAGTTCATTCTGTGCTTTAGCTTTCCTGACTTTGTGTCTACACGTGCTGGCTATTTGTTTGAATTCCTCTTTGGTGGTTTCCCCCCTTTTCCATTTTTTGTACACATCCTTTTTTAATCTTAACTCAGTTAAAAGTTCTTTAGATAGCCACCCTGGCTTCTTTAGGCACCTTCCATGTTTCCGTCTCATTGGTATTGCCTGACGTTGTGCTTTTACTATCTCCCTCTTAACAAACTCCCAGCCATCATGAACTCCCTTTCCTTTTAGTATTACTGTCCATGGGATTTCACCCAGCACTTCCCTAAGTTTTATGAAGTCGGCTTTCTTAAAGTCAAGAAATTGAGTCCTAGTGTGCTTGGCTGCTCCTTTCCGCTGTATAGTAAACTTCAGAAGAGCATGATCACTCGTGCCTAATGATCCTTCCACTTCTACCCCACTAACCAGGTCATCAACATTGGTTAGGACGAGATCTAAAATGGCTGTTCCTCTTGTTGCTTCTCCCACTTTCTGGACAATAAAGTTGTCTGCAAGGCCAGTGAGGAATCTGTTTGACCTTATGCTCTTGGCTGAGTTTGACATCCAACAAATATCCGGGTAATTGAAGTCCCCCATTACTACTATCTCCCTTCCTTTTGCATGCTTGGCCATCTGTTCCAGGAAGGCATCATCTATGTCCTCCGTTTGGCTTGGGGATCTATAGTAAACTCCCACAATGAGGTCTCTGTTATTCTTCTCTCCCTTAATTTTGACCCAAATGCTCTCACTTTGGCTTTGAGGTTCTAAATCTTGGATCTCTTCACAGGTATACACATCCCTGACATATAACGCCACTCCTCCCCCTTTCTTGTCTGGTCTGTTTCTCTTAAATAGATTGTATCCCTCCATTATTACATTCCAATCGTGGGACTTATCCCACCAGGTTTCAGTGATGCCTATTATGTCATATTTAGTTTGCTGTACCAAGAGCTCAAGCTCATCTTGTTTATTTCCCATGCTTTGCGCATTAGTGTACAGACATTGAAGTCCATTAATCATTCCCCCGTGTCTCTTATTTAAGGATTTTTTCCTCCCACCACTAGGTCTGCATGCTGTTTGCTCCATTTGGTCTATGACATTTGGATGATCATCTTCATCAACTGATAGACTCCTACCTTCAGGAGCATTGTCTCCCTCCCCCACATTAGTCAGTTTAAAGCCCTCCTGATGAGGTTTCTGAGATTTTTGGCAAAAAACATTCCTCCCAACCGTTGTGAGGTGCAGCCCATCGCTTGCCAGAAGTCCATCTTCAAGAAACTGCAGTCCGTGATCTAAGAATCCAAACCGTTTCCTGTTTACACCATTTGCGAATCCAGCTGTTCACTTCCACTATTTTTCCCTCTCTCCCTGGGCCACGTCGTTCAACTGGGAGGACAGATGAGATGACAATTTGTGCATTTAGTTGCTTCAATTTCCTGCCGAGAGCCTCGTAGTCTCTTTTGATCTTCTGGAGGCTATTGCTTGCAGTGTCATTGGTTCCCACATGAACCAAGAGGAAGGGGTATTTGTCAGTGGGTTTTATGATTCCTTGCAGTCGTTCAGTTACATCTTGGATCTTAGCCCCGGGGAGACAGCACACTTCCCGAGACATCTTGTCAGGCCCACAGATCACTGCTTCTGTTCCCCTCAGTAGGGAATCCCCTATCACCACTACACGCCTCCTCTTAGGTTTGGTCGGGGTTCTTCCGTGAGCTGTCCGTTCCAAGGTCGCCTGCACATTCCCTGAGGACTGACTTTGCTGGTCGTCTTCATATACCTGATCGACTGTAATGAGGGAGAGATCCTCAAATGGAGTGTGCTCTTCGTCTTCCATGCTAGGGGAGAGGACCTCAAAGCGATTGCGTATTTCTAAACAATCAGAGCGAACCCTGGGCCTCCTACTTCTTTGAGTCACGTTTCTCCATATATCTGGCTCCTGTGTTGGTGAGCTAGCCTCCTTCACAGGGGAGTCCCCTGTCTCCTCCTTGGTGGAGACGGTGTGCTCTGTTGCTTCCAAGAAGAGCTCCAGCTCTCTAATTCTTTGGAGCGTAGCTACACGTTCTTCCAGTTGCTGGACTTTGTCTTTTAAGAGAGCAATCAACATGCAATTGCTGCAGGTAAAGCTGCCTGCAATCTTTGGCAAGATGGCAAACATTGCGCAGGAACCGCAGGCGACTGCAGCTGTTCCCTCCTCCTCCATCTTGAGTATGTGTCGTTGGAGTATCCAATTTCCATCATTGCACCGATTTTCTAAATCGATATTTAGAATTTAACAAAGTCTTATTGACACAGAAATATGCTCCAGCACCAAAATTTGACATTAGCATTAGCACCAAAATGCCAGTGTCAAATATGAACTCCAAAATCTAAACTGATCACTGCGGGAGAAATAAGACCCATCAATTAATCTATTGCTTACACACTTAAGTGACCTATTCTTGTCCAGGCAGAGTTACACTGCTGAAATGCTACTACCGTACTTCTGATTTAAAAGTCTCAGGAAATAATACAGGTATCTTAAGCACCCCACCACACAATCTCTTAAATGCATAAAACAGGCCTGCGGAACCCAGGCTAAATGCAGTATGTGAGGCGAAAACCCTGGTCAAGCAAAAAGTCTCCAGCCTTTGCTGCTTTCCTCAGGGTTCAAACCCTGGGAAGTTATGAAACACGAATCAGATATAGCCACTGGACTGCATTCAGCTTCATGCGTCATTCTACAGGTCTGGCATCAGCAAAAGAAAAAGAATAAAAGAAGAAACAGAGGAACGAGGACAGAATGAGGATCTTACCTTTCTCAATACTGTATTTGGAAGTTTCCTTATTTTCTCCACGTGTTCCGGGTTAACCCCCAGCTCACAGCAGCTTACTCTGAGCAATTCATTGTAAGTCAGTTCTTGCCGATCCAGTTCAATTTCAATGAAATCGTTCTCTTTTAGAGTACGGTTCTGAACTCGGACCTTAAGCACCAGTTCTAATTTTAAAAGAAACACACAACCACAATTGTTAGGAGCATTAATAATAAGCACTTGGCAAATATTATTGGGTAGTAATTAAATTTCAAAAGGTTGCCTTGTTTCCCTTTTGGCAATCCCTTTTTCTAACTTGTGAACCGCCCTGCAACTTGCGGGTTATAGGGCGGTATACAAATTTAATAAATAAATAACAATAACAACTTCAACGTGATGCTTGCCATGGAGTAGCAATGAGGCAATGAGGACTAGAGATGGAGAGCTTCAGCCCTCCAGACCTCCATCTGAGCCTCAGAATGCTCCTCAGCCCTGCTTGCCACCTTCCTCAAGTGTATTTGCCTGGCTGCACGGTCTCCTTCAACTGTCTGCGTAGAGCAAGGTGTGTGTGAGTAGATACTAACCTACTATACAAAGGTAGCATTTACATTCACTGATCTGCCCACTTTTCCCCAGGCCCTGGCCACTACTGGAATGTGGTCCAGAATGTAATGTAACCATTAAGCTGAAAAAGCTTCCCCAGTCTGTGCTAGACCAAACCTGCCATCACATGAAACCCTCGAGTTGTGGAGATTGGGCAGGGAGAGGGGGCGGACAGGCAATTGACAAGGTCCTTGAATATGCAGGTGCAGCCATAAAACACATTTCCACTGTCATCAAACACGGCCCATGGTGTAACTGCAAATCTGCATCTTTTCACAGTTCAGCTTTGGGTGGTTGCTCTCATGGGGCCTGCTTGAGTATCAGGGCTTCCATCAGAAAATGTGGGCCAAGTCTACTATTGCTTGATGCTTGCAGAGCTGCCTAGCAGCAGCAGAAAAAAAGCAGGGATATAACCCTCCTCATGGCCATGCTATCTCTGCCTATAGCAGAAAGAATCAGCCTTAAGTATTTTTGCACTGTAAGTTGCCTCAATAAGGTTTTGAAGGCCCAAAACAATGAAATAAATAATACTACTTCGGTAATATGCCTAGATACACATTCAATTTAAGCAACAGCAATTAAGGCAAATAAGCATTATTGTTTGTGGGGAAAGAGGAATCTATGGTACCCCTAATGGTACACTATCATTTAGAGCTCAGGAATAACAACTTCAATAAATCAATTTTTTTATATCTGCGATAGGCCAAACAAAAACAGTGAATTGATTTGGCAGGGGGATATAGAATCCATTTAGTTTCGTAACATAAGGAGCAATTTCTACTACTAAAATATACGGTGGTACCTCTGGGTGCGAACGGGATCCATTCTGGAGCCCCGTTTGCATCCAGAAGCGAACGCAACCCGTGTTCGCGGATCGCAATTTGCTGCTTCTGCGCATGCGCGTCACGTCATTTTGACCGTCTGAGCATGCGCGAGCGGCGAAACCTGGAAGTAATGCACTCCGTTACTTCTGGGTAGCCGCAGCACGCAACCCGAAAATACTTATCCCGAAGCTACTTCAACCCGAGGTATGACTGTACTGCCACTTATATAATAATTAGGCAATGGGTACGAGTTCTGTAAATCCACAGTAGTGACCATCCTCTGATTGGTGAGAGAGGGAATAATTTAGCACTATTCAATGCTCATATGAATGTGCCTGGGGGGCGGTGATCATGATTGGGCTCACCCAAGCACATTTGATAACATGTCTGGAAATAATTGCCATATGTAGGCTCTTCCCATGTGATTCGAGGACTCTGCCTGTTTGACAGATATATAAATTGTGCAGACACGGCCTAAACGCAGTTTTATCTCCCCATAGATTTTCCAGACATTACATTTAATGCACATAGTGGTTAGTTAGGGCTGCCTTCCCTCTTCTGTACAGCTTCAGACAAATGTCTGATTAGTGCTTATGCGACTGTTTCCTGGGCAGCTAGAAAACGGCCCCAGAAACTTTGGGGGATTTCATTTGGGGATCACTGTCTTGACCACTGGGTTGTATGAAGTGACAGAAAATTCAGGAAGGGACTTCTGACCAAGGAAGATTATAAACCAAACCAAACGCTGCGCTAATTGATTTGTTATCCTGTCCAATTTCTGTTCAATCTACACACAGTTTTTATTCTAATTGTTTTCGCCAAAAGGCAGCACTAAGCTATCTTGAAAGCTTAACAGCTGAGGTTACCTTGCATGTTACTGAGGGGGAATGTTCCGGTGAAGAAAAAGGGCTGAAATGTTGGGACAGGTCCAGCACAGGAACCATTTGGTGGCTGTGTTTCAGGCTGTTTAGCTGCAACTGGAGAAGAGAGCGTCCTGTTTGGAGGAAGAGGCATCTGGTGACCGTGACCATTCTGGACTGCAGGCTCTGGGGATTCCGCTGCCATTGCCCTTGTCATGTCCCCATTGGACCCCAGAGGGGAAAGCTTTTCATGTTGCAACATGGTAGTGCCAGGTGCCTGAACTTGAGGTAAAGAAATGGGGCAGTCTTCATTGTGCTGTTCTAAGGAAGGGGAAAGTCTTCCATTCAAAGAGGAAGCGGAGGTGCTGGTAGTGCTGCTACTCATGGAGTTATACACATAAGGGAAAGGTGGGTTAGCCAAGTAATTGGGGATAATGGGCAAGGCGGAATCTTTCTTCTCATCCGGAAGCTCCTCAGCATCTTCCACTGCAAAATAAAGAATAGCTCTAAATAAAGGCAATTTCCAACTAAACATACAGAGGTTTGGTGAGTAACCCAGCAGGGGAGAAAGAGACAGAACTAGCACTGCTAAGCTAGCTGTACATGTTAAAATTACATTGTGCACATAAAAATAAATTAAGCATTTCTAACGCTATGATAAAATGCAATCATTTGATACTTCTATTATGCAGTTATATATTAAATTAAATGTCACAAAAATTATCCCTGCACATCTCCACCTGGGATTAACGAGGGGCTACGTTTTTAACCAAGTCAAAGTTCAGCAATCAATTTTTGATGGTTACAGTCTTCCTTTTTCCAAATCAGTATCTGTACACATCAATGCTGATTCTAGCAAAAGAATTAAAGGAGAGTTGGGGGAGAAAGTTACAAGGGCAGGAAGATCATACTGTTTCATCTTCATTGAATCATTATGGATTCTTGACAGTTATTAGTATCAACCGATCATTTTACCTCCCAGCATCTTCCTAATTTCCCTCTTTGATGTTAACTGGGCTGGTGTTTCTTCTTTAACAGTCAGAGCGTCCTTATCAGCGCCAGCATGTAGCAAGTACGATACCACTTGAGCATGGTTCCGTTTGCAGGCCCAGTGCAAGCAAGTCCTGCACAAGGCAAATGTAACAGCTAAGTTTGGGGGGTGCAAACACACGACATTAAATAAAAATAAAAACTGATGTACTATATCCGTTGAAAAATAATGACAGCCTACCTTAAGCTGAGCAGTTTTGCTATTCTTACAGATTTTTTATATTTCTTATACATTCCTATAGTGACACCTACTGGCAGAATCCTTCCCTATTGCAAATCACAGCGCTTCAAAGTTCATTACAGTACTTCTAGTTTCACAGCTTTCACATGCAGTTCTCTAGCAGCAAGGCCAAAGAGATGAGCCCACACTCTAAACTTCCAATATCTGGGGCACACTTAAAAACAACAACAACTGAATTAAGATTTGTGGCACATTTCCCCTTCCTGGAAAAACAAACAAACCAAAACCCATTTTTAGAAAGGATTTCACTGATTTAATGCAATTACCTAATTTACTTAAGTTGACAAGGTATAAATACAAAACATTTATTTCCCCACCCCTCCAAACAACATCTCAGTGTAACAGCAAACTACTGCTTTGATAAAGGCAGTCTTGCATATACCCAAATCCACAGTCAGGCAATACCTTCGTAAACAGAATTCTCGTGTTCAAGTCTAGTGTATTTGGGGTGATTTGGATAAAAAGGCACCGAACTTTTTCCTTTTGTATGTCTGCAAACCTTGGGAGTTTCCCATAGTCTGCTGTTGTGTGCGGATGGCACCAGGGTGACTACAAAAGGATCCACACACACTAATTGACTATGTAAATATGAGGAATGGTGATAATTAAAGCTCCAGCGGGGCAGAGGAGACCTTCTCCTGCAACTCTGTATGGTTTATTACCCTGCCCCTTTCCAAACAACTTCCAGTGAGGGCAAGTAATTCTTCTGCACCTTTGAAGCAACTGAAGCTGGACCATCCAATCAAGACTCAGGGTTTATCTACACATCCTGCTGCAGGGCAAGGGGAAAACTGAACCCATGTCTAGAAAACCGCTTGGACCCATGCTTTCTAGGTATAGCACAAGCAGAAGTGTGGGCAAGCCTATAGTGATGTTGACCTTTTCAAGCATGGCCCCCCTACTATCCTGCAAAACTGCTATTTCATTGTTTAGTGCATTTGTCTACCTTCTTTCTTCCAAGATGCTCAAGACAGCACACATCAGGTTATCCTATTTTTATCTTCAGAGCAACCCAATAAAGTAGGTTATGCTAAGTGTAAGACCATCCACTGAGCTGCCTAAGTGAGCAAGGATTTGAGTCCAAGTCTATAAGCTAAATTCAACGCTTTTTCCAGTTCAACAAATAGTGCCCAGTTATGCAGTGCCAAAAAAGTACGCAGGCATAATTGAAAAGGACATAGATTTGCATATGATAACATATATGCATTGATGCAGGTTTAGAATAATTACTATAATTTAAAATATATACAATGCATCTCAGTCTAGATGAGACAAGTACAATCAAGTGACCCATTTGTCTGATGTCCAGTTGTTGATGGAGTAACTTCAAAGCTCTTGCCCTCCTTTATTCAGGTTCATCTTTACACCAGACTTGGACTTGACAGCCCTTCAAACAGAGGGAGAAACCTTCAAATAGAATCCTGTCCTCTCTAAAGCAGGGCACTTGGTCACCCTAGTTCATTACTACTTATTTTATCTCAGTGTGCTCTCAAGATTCTTTTTTAAATATTACTTCTGCTAGAAAAGGTCACAGATCATTACCAATAAAAACCATTTCCATTATAAAGCTATTCTCTTTCAGAACCATATGGTTGATTTTGAGACTACTGTACTGCAGTATTAGACTTTGTTAAATGGTCAGCGAAGCCATATAGCTCTAACCAATGTTAAACTTTCTGTATTTTCTAACATATTTAGTATACAATACTGATTTTGCAATTGTCAATAGTTTACTGTACAGTCCTGTACTATAATTCTCTGGTATATTAATTTTTATAACTACATTAATATTGTTAGAATTTGTCTCTCCAGTGGGCAGTTATCTATCATTGTATCATTCTGACAAAGTTTTGCTATATTCTTCTACTCTGAACAAATCTCAAAACAATTTTGTGCCACATGCAAATCTCACTAATTCACTCCTTCCCTTTCCAAGACACCTTCATGTCACACCAAAATCACAATATATTTCCATAAGACCAACCAACGAGAGTAGAAGTAAAGAAAGCACAGTGGCCATACATTCAATTTATATTACAAAAAAACGATAACTTTTACTTTATGAGAACTTTTAGAAATATAAGAATATAATTGCTAAAATGTGAGATTCACCTCACAAAAGCCAACAAAAGAGAAAGGCAAGCAGACAAACAGATCTCTTCAGTGTGATGTAGACACTGCTAACAAGATTAAAATAAACTTTTGAACACTATAAAACGTAACAGCAAATGCATTGTCTGACCCTCCTTTTAGGAATTTTAGAATGGATGAATAGCAAGAAGAAAAAGACTTTTAAAATATCACTCCAAACTCGGTAACCAAGTCTACCACACACCGCTCTCTGAAAATGCCAATACGTATGGTATTGCCAAAAAGCTGCCGATGCAATTCACTTGCTAAATGCTCACCAGCCGTTGATTTCGTTTTGAGAGTTCACACTGACGCCACATTCCACCAATCGCTGAACTTCTTCAACATCCCCCAAAGCAGCGGCTTCTCTCAGGCGCTCCTGAAGCTCTTTTTCCTCTGCTGCAGAGCTCATGTTACAAAATTATCTTTGCAGTAAAACTTTGGGATTGTCGAATGGAGCCGCCTACTGCGAACGACGGATCATCTTATAAAACTAGTCCATCAGAGGCAGGAAGAATCCGATCCGTCCTGAAAGAAAAGTCTCACGCCTTAGTCCTTTTTCATCTTAAACTCATATGCGGCTGTTTCCTACCTATGGCTCATAAATCAAACAGTTTCACATTTCTGAAGGCCATTTTTCCCTAATTGCATAGTCTAGAGCGGATACGGCTTCCTCCTTCTCGCAGGGGGACTCTATTAAGTGAGACAACAGTGACCTAGATATTTAGTTCCTACCAACAGTCCGGCACGCGAACATTCACGCGCTCCTGCAATCTTGCAGAACACTTTCATTTTTCCCCCCATTTGCTCATACGGGTTGCTATTTAAAATATAAGCAGTCTTTCTCGCCATCACTACTTTATACCACAACCTATCCCAATTCCAGATCTCTCTGCATTTTTTTGCTTGTGCTTCCGCTGAAAAGGATCGTCAGTTTCCCTCCCTTCCCCGGCGGCAGATTCCTAGCGCGATGTACGCTGCGAACAAATCTGTTAACACTACTGATCCAAACGTATTAAAACCGTGAGCCAGTTCCTTGCAAAACAGGAAGCTCGGCTTAAAAAAGGTATGAGGCGTCGAGAGATGATGCTGGAGCCCAGAAAAAAAATTGTAGCAGTTCTAAACGGATGCAGAGCAGGCTACAGCGGTAAATCTAAAACAGCTAAATATAATGTAGAGCAGCCCTTTTGAAATATTGGACTTGGTAAATTTATGTCTCCCTAGTAATCTGCCAGTGCTGTCCCCAGTTTTATTACAATGTGCACATTTTGTAATATAATTAAAGTTTCTTAGAGTCCATGTTGCAGATTGCTTCTTAAAATCAAACAGGAGAGTGCTTGCTGCCTGAATTATGATGGCCAGACACACAGGGCAGCAGTTTCTCAGTTGGGGCGTTATAGTCATGGAATGCTCTCCTAAGGGAAAACCACCCAAGTCCATCACTACTGGCCTGTCCCATTACTTAACGTATTTTGGTGCAGTAGGACCGATTCACTGTTTTGACAGTTTGGGGGGGAGGTTCTGCCTGAGGTGCATTTTCCCTATTTTGGTTGTGTTTTTTAAATGATTCATTATTGTTTAAGATGCCTAGTAGTCTTTTTAAAAAAAGAAAAGTGGGGCATAAATATATTAATAAAATATGGGAAAATAAATAATATAAACAAAACTTTAGTGCCAGGTTCCTTCTAGCAGTAAAACAAATACGTACCATTGTTTTGCAGGATAATTAATGGTTAAGATTTTGTGTTCTGCTTTTGTTTTAATGATACTGTTTTTGCATTGAACACTGTACTGTGATTGCATAATAAAAGTTCACATTGATTGATCCAGAAGCAAACACTTGCCCAGACCTAACAGACATTTTACAACTAAAATAAAACGCTTCGAACCCTGGGAATACTAAGAAATTTACTTGGAATGGGTGGGATTCTCCATGAAAAAAATCTGTGTAGTTTTTTCACAGGTACGTAGATATGATAGGCAGAGAAGCCCTTAGAGAACAAAAGGTTGGCAACTCACATAAACAAGGAGCCAAACATGACTTCCCTTCTGTATCTCCTTCACAAAGTCAAGACAGTACTTGCCTGATGATAGTTCTCTTTTTGGGGAAAATCTGATTTAACTCAGAAGTATATCCCATTATGCTCAGGACTAGTGTTTAGGATTGCAGTCTGAGTCTCATGTACTCAGCCTCAGATGTCAGATGTTTTAGAAACAAAAACTGGCCATGTTTTATAAAGTGATTGTATTATGATTCTGTCTCACAGCATGAGACTATTTTTTTTTAAGTACTCCTTGTCAAAGAAGTATTTAATTCTTTTGTATTATTGAGCTGTGGAGTAACACCTACGCACTGCCTTTCAGATTGGGGTTCTAATAGTAACAGGTGCAGGACTATTTTTGAATGTTCGTTAAGCAAATGTGGGACCAGAGGATTATTTAAAACAAAGCTGAATAGAACCATTGTTTGTGTATTGAGGCTCTGAGAGGCTTGGGTAACGGGATTTTGATTTTATAGTTTGTATAGGTGGAAGGGACCACAAAAGTCATCTTTTGCTCAAACCCATGACCTAGATCATGGGTAGGCAAGCTAAGGCCCAGGGGCCGGATCCGGCCCAATCACCTTCTAAATCCAGCCCACGGATGGTCTGGGAATCAGCATGTTTTTACATGAGTAGAATGTGTGCTTTTATTTAAAATGCATCTCTGGGTTATTTGTGGGGCATAGGAATTCATTCATTTTTTTCAAAAAAAAAAATAGTCCGGCCCCCCCCACAAGGTCTGAGGGACAGTGGACTGGCCCCCTGCTGAAAAAGTTTGCTGACCCCTGACCTAGATTAAGATTCTCCTGTTCTACCCACTAAGCTATCTCCTCTATTTGTCACTTTTTTATTTTCTTTCAGAAACGAAAACTCAAATGGCCTACAAAAAAAAAAAAGAGACTTAAAATACAGCAGTGTTATATATAGAAGAGCAGATCAAGTCATTTCAAAAATTTATTTCGCGAATTCTATGAAGAGGTTGCAAAATCATGGGCATTTCTATCAAAAAGAGGGGATGCTCTGTGCAAAACTGAACGCTGCTCGGTCTTGAAGGCGGAGGACACTCTCTTTTATAACGGGCTGCTCTAGTCAGGAGTAACTGTCAGCTTGCGCCTTCGCAATCCAAGAGGAAAAGAAGGCTGCGCAGGTGCACCTCCCACGACGCCCTCCCCCGCGCCCCCAGGCGAGACCCGCGCGCAGGCGAGCACCAGGCCTGGGCCACAGGGGCGGTTGCGCGAGATCTGCGCGGTGCATTGTGGGGGACGCCCTGGGCTTGAGGGTGCCGCCATTTTGTCTCTGTCACTCTCGTCAGCGGCGCGGTTTGGGTGTTATTGAAGGAGGGGGGCGGGCGGAGGCGGCGGCGGCGGCGGGAAGGAAAGAAAGCGCTGGAGGCCGCGGCGGAGAGGCCGGACTTGACGAGCGGGGCATCATGATTTCGGCCGCCCAACTTCTGGACGAGCTTATGGGCCGGGACAGGAACCTGGCCCCGGATGAAAAGCGCAGCAACGTGCGGTGGGACCACGATAGCGTGAGTATGGCCGAGACGGGGCCTCCTCCTCCTCTATCGCCGGCCCTCGCTTGGTCGAGGCCCTTTTGCGCGCGCTTTGGGGGGCGGAGGTAAAGTGGAGAGGAGAGAAGATGGGCCAGTTAACAGGACGAGGAACAGGTTTACCTGGCGGAGGCCCTAAAATGCGGAGGAGGAGGAGGAGCCGCTCCGCTATTAACTGCTAGAATAGCTTGCAGGCAAAGAGGTGAAGGCACCTTAAGGTCCTGCGCAGCGGGTAGCGGGCGCGATGGGCAGGGAGCCTCGAAAAGGCTTTGCGGGAGGAAAACGGGGTTTCGTTTCGCGGCCTTGGGGGTTGAAGGACAAACAAGGAAAGGTTGTACCCCCGTTATGTTCACGCTGAGGATTTGTGGTTGAAGCGAACAAGAGCTAAACCTCTGGATCTGGGGCGTCTGCCTTTGGGGGGGCGCACGGAGAGGGAGATTTGAAGCCTTTGGGGAGGGCGAGGCACCCACTGCTCTAATAAAGGGCCTACCGATCCTGTAGTTTCAACTCTTCTTTAAGGTGTGATGCTTTTAAGATCGCTTGTTCCACCGCCTTCTAATACGAAGCACAGCTGCCTACGAGAGAGTGTTAACAACCGGAAAGCATTGCAGTACTACTATCTGGCGAAGTGAATAAGGCTGCAAAATACAGGCACAGCAGAAAACTAAAACGAGCGGGGGACGAAATAAACTCGAACATTGATCTAGCCAAAGGTCTGCCAAAACACAGATTTATTTTAAAGTATTGTGTGAGGGCTTGGAGATAAGCAACACCTGGGGCAGGATGTTCTAACATATGAGTGCTGCAGTCAAAGGTCCTGCCACCTGTTCCCACCAACTGTGCTTCAAATGAGGGCCACACGTGGGCAAGAGTCTCAGCGCTTGACTTAGTAACTGACTGTATTTTAGGAGAGGAACTGGCCCTTTGGGTATCCTGGTTGCACACAATATAATGGTAATGGTAGTGGTATCTGGGAAATGACTGGCACCTAGTGATATACAGGAAGAGGTAATATGATTCCCACATCTTCCCCACTCAGAAATCAAAGTGCTGCATTTTGTACCAGCTGCAGTTTTCAGACTGTTGTTCAAAGGCAGCTCCACAAACTCTTAATTGCCCAGCCTGAATGTAGCTAAACCATTTGTGGTTGTAGCCAGGTCTACCTTATCCACAAACAGTGCTGTGATTACACCAGCCAAAACCAAGCAATCCCACTGTTGGCCACCATCACATCTTAGAATCAGAAGCAACACTGCTAAAATGCAAATTTTGCATTTGTAAAGAATGCCAGACAATTCCTGCAGACTTTGCAGGAATTAGGGATTTGTGACCATTGAGTTTCTCCAGAGGCTTTGCTTCTTAACTCCTGACAGCCGTGAACGTTCATTTACATTGAAAGAGTACATTTCCCCCTTTAGCAGCCAACATACAGTACACACATTTTTTGCTATCTCTACACATAAAGAGCTGTTGATTTCATAATGTCAAGAAGCATTTTGCTCCTTTGTTATGACATTGCCTTAGGAAACTCTGGGCAGGCTGCCTAAAACGTGTTGGAGTCACACTCCTTCTGAAGGAGCAGGTACCTAACTTGAGGGTGTTTCTAGATCCATTACTATCTCTTGAGGCTCAAGTGGCCTTGATGGCTTTGAGCAATGGCTCAGCTGCATCACCTTTTGGACAGGAACAACCTAACTTCTGGTGTCTAAGCTCTGATGATCTAAGTTGGACTACTGCAATGTGTTATACAGGCAACTCCCCACGTTGGCGGAACATGTGTACTGTAAGCCCACCCCGTTCAGCCCCCTTTCAGGGCCACAGTGTGCATGTCGGCGATCACACACCAATCAAACACATGCAAAATTGTTGTTGTCTGTACATTGAAGATGGTTCTGCAACTGGTGCAGAATTTAGAGGCCAGATTGTTGACTGGGACAGAACTGTCTGAACATATAACTGATTTTGGCATGACTGCACTGGCTATCAGTTTCTGGACTCAATTCAGAGTGCTGCTTTTGACCTTTAAAGCCATATGTAGTTGAGGACCACAGTACCTCAAGAACCACTGCTCCCCTGAAGCCTGCAGTCATCATATGAGACCCTTCGTTGTGTGCCCCCCTCCACAGGATATTGGAGGGTGTAGTATGCTCTTCCCCGAGATGCACGCCTGGCACCATTTTTATCTTATTTTTAGGCTCCAGGCAAATACTTTTCTCTTTACCTTGCCTCTGGTTCCTTAATTTGAAAGGTGGCATTGTGGCCTCTTTTAGTGGGATGGGATCAGTAACTCCTCATCCGTTGTATCTGTTTAGCTGTATTTTTAGATTGTTGTCGGATGTTCTTAATTGTTTTTAATGTAAGTTGCTAAGGGTCGCTCTTTGAGAAAAGCAACTCACTGATATAACCAATATATAAATTGAATAACCTCTGTGCAGTTGGGAA